ACTCATTACGTGACTTGTTAAGCTAATTTGTTACACCTGAACTCATTTAGGCTTGTCATAACAAAGGGGTTGAATACTTATTGACTAAAGACATTTCATTTTTTCATTTTTTATTAATTTGTAAAAGTTTCTAAAAACATAATTCCACTTTGACATTATGGGTTATTGTGTGTAGGCCAGTGATACAAAATCTCAAATTAATCCATTTTAGATTCATGCTGTAACATATACAGTGGGGAGAACAAGTATTTCATACAATGCCGATTTTGCAGGTTTTCCTACTTACAAAGCATGTAGAGGTCTGTAATTTTTATCATTGGTATACTTCAACTGTGAGAGACGGAATCTAAAACAAAAATCCAGAAAATCACATTGTATGATTTTAAAGTAATTAATTTGCAATTTATTGCATGACATAAGTATTTGATACATCAGAAAAGCAGGACTTAATATTTGGTACAGAAACCTTTGTTTGCAATTACAGAGATCATACGTTTCCTGTAGGTTTGCCACACTGCAGCAGGGATTTTGGCCCACTCCTACATACAGACCTTCTCCAGATCCTTCAGGTTTTGGGGCTGTCGCTGGGCAATACGGACTTTCAGCTCCCTCCAAAGCTGTTCTATTGGGTTCAGGTCTGGAGACTGGCTAGGCCACTCCAGGACCTTGAGATGCTTCTTACGGAGCCACTCCTTAGTTGCCCTGGCTGTGTGTTTCGGGTCGTTGTCATGCTGGAAGACCCAGCCACGACCCATCTTCAATGCTCTTACTGAGGGAAGGAGGTTGTTGGTCAAGATCTTGCGATAATGGCCCCATCCATCCTCCCCTCAATACGGTGCAGTCGTCCTGTCCCCTTTGCAGAAAAGCATCCCCAAAGAATGATGTTTCCACCTCCATGCTTCACGGTTGGGATGGTGTTCTTGGGGTTGTACTCATCCTTCTTCTTCCTCCAAACACGGCGAGTGGAGTTTAGACCAAAAAGCTCTATTTTTGTCTCATCAGACCACATGACCTTCTCCCATTCCTCCTCTGGATCATCCAGATGGTCATTGGCAAACTTCAGACGGGCCTGGACATGCGCTGGCTTGAGCAGGGGGACCTTGCGTGCACTGCAGGATTTTAATCCATAACGGCGTAGTGTGTTACTAATGGTTTTCTCATGATCATTGATGCCCCACGAGGTGAGATCTTGCATGGAGCCCCAGACCGAGGGTGATTGACCGTCATCTTGAACTTTTTCCATTTTATAATAATTGCGCCAACAGTTGTTGCCTTCTCACCAAGCTGCTTGTCTATTGTCCTGTAGCCCATCCCAGCCTAGTGCAGGTCTACAATTTTATCCCTGATGTCCTTACACAGCTCTCTGGTCTTGGCCATTGTGGAGAGGTTGGAGTCTGTTTGATTGAGTGTGTGGACAGGTGTCTTTTATACAGGTAATGAGTTCAAACAGGTGCAGTTAATACAGGTAATGAGTGGAGAACAGGAGGGCTTCTTAAAGAAAAACTAACAGGTCTGTGAGAGCCGGAATTCTTACTGGTTGGTAGGTGATCAATACTTATGTCATGCAATAAAATGCAAATTAATTACTTAAATATCATACAATGTGATTTTCTGGATTTTTGTTTTAGATTCCGTCTCTCACAGTTGAAGTGTACCTATGATACAAATTACAGACCTCTACATGCTTTGAAAGTAGGAAAACCTGCAAAATCGGCAGTGTATCAAATACTTGTTCTCCCCACTGTACAAATTTGGAAAAAGTCAAGGGGTGTGAATACTTTCTGAAGGCACTTTATCTACACTATATATACAAAAGTATGTGGACACCCCTTCAAATTAGTGGATTCGGCTATTTCAGCCACACCCGTTGCTGACAGGTGTATAAAATTGCGCACAGTCATGTGATCTCCATAGACAAACATTGGCACTAGAATGGCCTTACTGAAGAGCTCAGAGACTTTCAATGTGGCACCGTCATAGGATGCCACCTTTCCAACAAGTCAGTTCATCAAATTTCTGCCCAGCATGAGCTGCCCCAGTCAACTGTAAGTGCTGTTATTGTGAAGAGGAAACGCGTAGGAGCAACAATGGCTCAGCCGCAAAGTGGTAGGCCACACAAGCTCACAGAACGGGACATCCGAGTGCTGAAGCACGTAGCGTGTTAAAATTGTCTGTCCTCAGTTGCAACACTCACTACAGAGTTCCAAACTGCCTCTGGAAGAAACATAAGCACAATAACGTTTCATTGGGAGCTTCATGAAATGGGTTTCCATGGCCGAGCAGCCGCACACAAGCCCAAGATCACCATGCACAATGCCAAGCATCGGCTGGAGTCGTTTAAAGCTCGCCGTTATTGGCCTCTGAAGCAGTGGAAACACGTTCTCTGGAGTGATGAATCACGCTTCACCATCTGGTAGGTTGGTGGATGCCAGGAGACTGCTACCTGGCAGAATGCATAGTGCCAACTGTAAAGTTTGGTGTAGGAGGAATAATGGTCTGGGTCTGTTTTTCATGGTTCGGGCTAGGCCCCTTAGTTCCAGCGAAGGGAAATCTTAACGCTACAGCATACGATGACATTCTAGACGATTCTATGCTTCCAACTTTGTGGCAAAAGTTTGGGGAAGGACCTTTCCTGTTTCAGCATGACAATGCCCCCGTGCACAATGCGAGGTCCATACAGAAATGGTTTGTTGAGATCGGTGTGGAAGAACTTGACTGGCCTGCACAGAGCCCTGACCTCAACCTCATTGAACACCTTTGGGATGAATTGGAACGCCGACTGCGAGCCAGGCCTAATCGCCCAACATCAGTGCCCGACCTCACTAATGCTCGCGGCTGAGTGGAAGCAAGTCCCCCCAGCAATATTCCAACATCTAGTGGAAAGCCTTCCCAGAGGAGTGGAGGCTGTTATAGCAGCAAAGGGGGACCAACTCCGTATTAATGCCCATGATTTTGGAATGAGATGTTCGACAAGCAGGTGTCCACATACTTTTGGTCATGTAGTGTACCTCAATTACCTCTAGTGGAGGCTCCTCAGAGGAGTAAGGGGAGAACCGTCCTTCTCAGTGAAAAAAATAATATTGTAAAATATTTTTAAAGTTATCCTTTTTGGTTAAAACTATACTAAATATATTCACGTCACCAAATAATTGATTAAAACACACTGTTTTGCAATGAAGGTCCACAGTAGCCTCAACAGCACTCTGTAGGGTAGCACTGTGGTGTAGACAGAGGACAGCTAGCTTCCGTCCTCCTCTGGGTACATTGACTTCAATTCAAAACCTAGGAGGCTCATGGTTATCACCCCCTTCCATAGACTTACACAGTAATTACGACATCTTCCGGAGGATGTCCTCAACCTATCAAAGCTCTTGCTGCATGAACTGACATGTTGTCCACCCAATCAAAGGATCAGAGAATGAATCTAGTACTGAAATCATATGCTACAACTTGCTAGCACTGCAGTGCTAAAATGTAGTGAGTAGTTGATTCAGAGATAGAAGACAATAGTTGAACAGTTCTGAACAAATTCATTTAGGAGAAGCAAGAGAGAAAGAGAGCTTTTATCATTTTTTTCACTTTCAGTTTCACTTAGCTATCAAATGCAGCTAGCTAGTTTAGCCTACTCAAACACCCTGCTCATACAGAGGGATGCCATGTTAGCTAGCTGGCTATGACTATCCAACACAACACTGGAACTTTTCCAAGTCAAGGTAAGCTTTTGGTTTTACTAATTTATTGCCACCGTGGCCCGCCAGTGTAAGTGCTAAACTGCTTAGTGACTGTACACTGTAATGTTACTGTATGATTGTAGCAGGTTTACGAACACGTTAGTTCTATCAGCTATGATGACTATGACGTTACTTTAGCTAATATGGTGTCAACGATGTAGGCTGTGTGTAGCGGTGTTTTCGCCTGGTCAAGTACAGCTGATGTGTTGTGCATTGAAGACAACAAGGGAAAGGAATATGTGAGAGGAGGAGAGCGCATAGATGCGAGAAGGAATACAACGTGGCTGCTATGAAAGTGAACTGTGTTTACGCGTGATCAAGGGTGTATTCATTCCGCCGATTCTGTTGAAAAATGTTTCTTAAACGAAAGCAAACAGAACGTGGATAAACATACCTGAATTTGTCCAATAGAAACTCTTGTTTGCAACTGTTAGACTAATGATTACACCCCAGAACAGTTAGATGCAGTCAAGGCGGTATTGAATGTGTCACTGTCTGTCACCTCAAGTTTATCTCTCGACCTGTGTGCACCTACATCGTAAACTTTCCTTCATAGGCTAGATTGCAGCAACCTCATGATGGGTATAGGGAAACTGAGTATCATGTAGTAGCCTAAACCTATCGCTGTTACATTGAACTGGGTGAATGGAATATGAAAGACAGTCATCCAATATTCTGTAATAGAAATAAGGCCATGCTCATAAAAAAACGGCACCGACCGCCACTGATTACCTCGTACCCCTGCACATCAATTCGGTACTGGTACCCCATCTATATAGCCAGGTTTTCGTTCCTCATTGTGTATTTATTTCATTTGGGCAACAACAGTTTAGCTAGATTCACAGTTGAGACGCTTCTCGTTCCAGTGGTGTATAACATTCAGGTATTCACACATGTTTAAAAACTGTACTACGTCATTGTTTGAGATTGCGGGAGGAGTACCCCGGATATGGGGAACCTCGTGATGAAGAGGTTAACAAAATGTGGAAAAAGTCAAGGGATCTGAGTACTTTCTGAATGCACTGTACACACACACACACATCCCTGAAATAGCAATCTCTCTTTTGCAGGTAGATAGATAAGGCCAAAGTGTAGTTCCATTAAAAACACAGTATGAGAACACCACCATTTAAAAAGAATGTCATCATGATCAATAGGCCTCATCAGTTTCTGTCATTAGGTCTGTCATTAGTTTCTTTAATTCCACACCACAGAGTCGTGTTCAGTAGCAAGACAGATAGTATTACCCTCGAGACAGGGACACTTACTGTGGGTGGTGGACTGCACCGACTCGGCCAGGCTGACCGTGGAGGGGGTCTTGGGGGGCGAGGTGTATTCTGAGGAGCGGTCGGTGCTGGTGCTGGGCTGGAGCTGAAGGGTACTGGCCTGGACGCTGTCCCCTGTAGCGGTGGAGGTGGAGTTGGAGCCCACGGAGCTCAGCCGAGGTCTTATCTCCTCTCCTCCTCTGCCCACAGAGCTCAGTTGGGGTCGACTGGTGGAGGCACCAACAGAACTCAACCGGGTGCTGTCACCCGCGGGAGTGGAGGTAGCACCAACTGAGCTCAAGCGGGGTCTAGGGCCCTCCTCCGAGTCAGCCCGGGTTGGTTTGACTGGGGGATCACTGGGGTCCTGGGCTGGGTAACTCACAGATTCACTAACAGCCCCGACAGTAGACTTCTTCTCTTCTCCCTGAACCTTCAGGTATATAGAATAATTAATTAATTCATTCATTTAATCATACATTCATTAATTCATTCAAATTTCATTTATTCTGAAAAAAACAGAAACATAAGGACCATGAAAGAGGATGCTTGGAAATAAACTAGTTGGTCAGGTTGAAACTCCACCCAAAAGGTTTGACAAACCTCACTGTCTGTCTCCACCCTCGCCACCTCTGCTTCGTGGTCAGGTCTTCTTCCTGGTGTGCCATGATTGGACGGAGCCCTGGCGCTGTCATCCACATCAGGAAGGTGATTGGTTAGCTGTGAGTTCCGTCCAATCATGGAGTTCTCTCCCGCCTCACCAGGGTTGACAGTGCTCTCAGACAGCCTCTTAGCAGCCTGGATCCTCTTGGGGTGGAGTCTACTCAGAGACATGTAGTGGAAGTTGTCTTGCTCTCCGTTCAGAAGGTAACCTGAGAATGACATCCTACGGAACTCCTGTGGAGGAGAAGATTCAAGGGTGAGGGTCAGTACCATCTCAATTCAGGAAGTAAACTGATATTCAAATTTTCCTAATTGAAAAGCAAAATCGGCAGAGTAGCACTTGGGTATGCAACATGTAAGGTTCCTAACAATGTGAAAAACTAATTGATCGCATAGAAAAAAGGACCAAAACTAATCTTTGCTATGAAAGAAGAACACCCCTTTGTCACCGCTCCTGGTCACCCTCCCGGCCTACCTCTTTGAACTTCTCCAGGGACTGCTCAGGGCCGAAGACAAACTGCAGAGGAACGACCTCACAGTGGCACCGTGGTCGCCCGCCTGATCGAAACACGTGATCCGCCACCTTCTGTAGTGTGGACGAGCGGATGACCCGGGAGAGACGCAGCGCTGACACGATCTCATCCTCCAAGAGCCAACGGATCTACAGCGAGGGACAACAGGGAGAGGAGAGGGAGAGCTGAGTAAATGGGCCTGAAATACGTAGCTCAGTGACAGGGGAATTCCTGCTATTTAGTGGTCGACTAGCTCAAAGTCGAATCAATATCAATATGAAGTACCAAAATCGACATCAAGTTCAAAAGTAAACAGACTGAACTTACCTCATCCATGGTGGCTAACACTGCTAGTTTGTGGGGAGTTGGAAGTTTGGCCAAAGGGTCTCCTCCAACCCTGTTGAAATAAAGAAGAAATTAGCTACTGTAAGCTACGTGAAATTATCATGCAGGCAGCCAAGGCCTGCTCAACATGCTTTCTTACTCCAATGTATCCCTACCCTTCAGACCACTCACCCGTCAACCCCTACTCCTCTAGCCTAGTTCTATATCTGTTTGTGCTGTATAGCCAAAAGACAACGGTTATACAGCACAAACAGATAAAGAACTAGGCTACTCCTTTCCCCATCCTTCCTAATGACTCACCCGTCGACCCCTACTCCTCTCAGGCTGTCCAGGTTGCCCATCAGCTCCTCGTCAGAGCGGTAGGAGGAGGGCTGACCTGGAGAACGGTTCAGAGACACACTGCTCTCTGACGTGTACCTGGAGAGAGTGCAGCCCGTTGGTTAACATGATCTACTTCTAGTGAAAGATCCTATCTGATAAATGCGGTTTGATGAAAGTATACAGCACAGGGTTATGCTCATACACACTGCACATTATCATTCCAATGACAATGTATCTGGTAAGAGTGCCTATCCTAATGAGTGAAATCCTACAAGTTTAAGCACCAAGTTCTTTTCAATGTTTTTACAAATCTGGGGAAGCAAAGAGCACCTTACCATATGAACAATAATGAATCCAAGAACAAAGAGATGCATTTTATTTTGTTCCACATATTTCTTAAGTAGGATCTAAAAACCTCACCTGTTGTGTCTCAAGTCAGATTGCATGCCCTCTATCTCTAGGGGTAAGGTGAGGACAAAGATGTCCAGTGTGACAGACATATCATTCAGATCAACAGCCTGCAGGGCCTCTGCATTCTCCAGACATGTGATCACCTCACCTGTAACAAAACAGTACACGTCGTCTCAACACAAATAGCAGGGCATTTAATATTATTATGAAAATTCACACCACAACTGGGGTTAAAGAGTATTTGTTGTCTTTCAAATATTTTGACTGTAGGAGTGATCCAGATGGGAAGGTTTAGCACTTTTGGAACTAGTCCACTGGTTCCATTGTGCCAGACAAACTCAATAAAGTGCAGCTATCAAATCAAATCAAATGTTATTGGTCACATACACATATTTAGCAGATGTTATTGTGGGTGTAACGAAATGCTTGTGTTCCTAACTCCAACAGTGCAGTAGTATCTAACAATTCAAACAAATCTAAAAGTAAAAGAATGGAATTAAGAAATATATAAATATTAGGATGAGCAATGTCAGAATGGCATTGACTAAAATACAGTAGAATACAGTATATACATATTACATGAGTAAAGCAGTATGTAAACATTATTAAAGTGACCTGTGATTCCATGTCTACGTACAGTTGAAGTCGGAAGTTTATATACACCTTAGCCAAATACATTTAAACTCAGTTTTTCACAATTCCGGACATTTAATCCTAGTAAAAATTCCCGGTCTTGGGTCAGTTAGGATCACCACTTTATTTTAAGAATGTGAAATGTCAGAATAATAGTAGAGAGAATGATTTATTTCAGCTTTTATTTCTTTCATCACATTTCCAGTGGGTCAGAAGTTTACATACACTCAATTAGTATTTGGTAGCATTGCCTTTAAATTGTTTAACTTGGGTCAAACATTTCGGGTAGCCTTCCACAAGCTTCCCACAATAAGTTGGGTGAATTTTGGCCCATTCTTCCTGACAGAGCTGGTGTAACTGAGTCAGGTTTGTAGGCCTCCTTGCTCGCACACGCTTTTTCAGTTCTGCCCACAAATGTTCTATAGGATTGAGGTCAGGGCTTTGTGATGGCCACTCAAATACCTTGACTTTGTTGTCCTTAAGCCATTTTGCCACAACTTTGGAAGCATGCTTGGGGTCATTGTTCATTTGGAAGACCCATTTGCGACCAAGCTTTAACTTCCTGACTGATGTCTTGAGATGTTGCTTCAATATATCCATATAATTTTCCTTCCTCATGATGCCATCTATTTTGTGAAGTGCACCAGTCCCTCCTGCAGCAAAGCACCCCCACAGCATGATGTTGCCACCCACGTGCTTCACGGTTGGGATGGTGTTCTTTGGCTTGCAAGCATCCCCCTTTTTCCTCCAAACATAACAATGATCATTATGGCCAAACAGTTCTATTTTTGTTTCATCAGACCAGAGGACATTTGTCCAAAAAGTAAGATATTTGTCCCCATGTGCAGTTGCAAACCGTAGTCTGGCTTTTTTATGGCGGTTTTGGAGCAGTGGCTTCTTCCTTGCTGAGTGGCCTTTCAGGTTATGTCGATATAGGACTTGTTTTACTGTGGATATAGATACTTTTGTACCCGTTTCCTCCAGCATCTTCACAAGGTCCTTTGCTGTTGTTCTGGGATTGATTTGCACTTTTCACACCAAAGTACGTTCATCTCTAGCAGACAGAACGTGTCTCCTTCCTGAACGGTATGACGGCTACGTGGTCCCATGGTGTTTATACTTGCGTACTATTGTTTGTACAGATGAACGTGGTACCTTCAGGTGTTTGGAAATTGCTCACAAGGATGAACCAGACTTGTGGAGGTCTACAATTTGTTTTCTGTGGTCTTGGCTGATTTCTTTTGATTTTCCCATGATTAAAGGCACAGTCAACTTAGTTTATGTAAACTTCTGACCCACTGGAATTGTGATACAGTGAATTATAAGTGAAATAATCTGTCTGTAAACAATTGTTGGAAAAAGTTACTTGTGTCATGCACAAAGTAGATGTCCTAACCGACTTGACAAAAATATAGTTTGTTAACAAGAAATGTGTGGACTGGTTGAAAAACATGTTTTAATGACTCCAACCTAAGTGTATGTAAACTTCCGACTTCAACTGTACATAGGGCAGCAGCCTCTAAGGTGCAGGGTTGAGTAACCGGGTGGTAGCCGGCTAGTGAAGGTTATTTAACAGTCTGATGGCCTTGAGATTGAGAACCCAGGTCTGATTCACACACTGTCTATTGGCTTGTGTCTCTTATGTGAGGGTTGTGAGGGGTGCCAGGTACAGTGTGTACTCACCCAGGCAGGTGGGTAGCGTGGTTATGGGCATGGATCCGTGGCAGCTCTTCGTGTTAACAGAGCAGGTGAGGTGGACGAACAGCGGCGGCATCTCAGGCTGAGGCCCCTCTGGCTCCAACAGGCTGTCTCCCTCTAGGATGCTGAAGGAGTCCTCATCCTGGTTCACCGTGTTGGAGTCAGACAGGGACTCATCCTCCCCCTCTCCCCCTGCTTCCCCCTCTCCGTCTGCCCCTATGCAACTCCGGCCTCCAGCCCTCTCCTGGTACTCCACCTCCAGGTCTGTGTCGCTCTCCATCATGATGCAACAGCCCGACATGTTCTCTGAGGTGCACAGGTGGAAGACATTAGGATGACATAGTACACAGCATTATGACATAGCGCACAGGACTTATGACGTATCCTTAACTACATGTTCTCTGTCGTGCACAGGATGAGTATAGAGTATCTGATGTTTTGTTAACTAGAAGATCTTAGGCGGGGGGTTACACCAAGTAATCCTAGCAACTAAAATACAAGGATCCTCACCGTCCTCTGTAGCAGGCTCAGCCTCTGAGACAACCTCTTCACTAAGTCGTCTCTCCTCTTCCCTATCAGAGTCCTTAGGAGAAGGACAAAAAATTAAATAAGATTAAGAACACTATATTATTCACAGTCTCAGTTAGTTAGCACTGAACCAATGTTTCGACAGCCAGTGCCATCTTCAGTGTCCTGAGGGTGGATACCAACCAGGCATTCACGTACCACAGAGACTCAGAACAATGGATAGGAAATAACATACACGTACCTCTTTCTTAGATGATGGTGGGCAATAGTAGAAGTAGTGGGGATTGGAAGGCACGGTCTTGAAGTACTGAGCACCAATTTCCATGAATTTGTCCTGTTGAATACAGGTATTAGCTAGCTTTAAAACGGTTATATAACAAGAGCATCAAATTGTAACATAATTCATAATCCAACAAATGTCTTTCCATTCTAACATTATTTATCCTTCAGTTGTTTACCTGTATGATTTTGTGCAGGTCAGGGTAGACCTCACACTTCTGCTGAAGGTGGAGGAGGGACAGAGGGAACTCTGGTATCCTGGTGGTCCTGGGGGGTTCGTCCAGGCCGCGGGGGGAGTTTGGGGCTGAGGCCTTCCCCCTAGACTCTGCCTCACTCACGTCCTCCATCTCAATACTTGCAGATACAAGGTCGTCATATTCACTCATAGAGCACCATTCAGCACCGTCAATCAATAGTCTGAACCAAACAAGTACCAAAACAAACCAAACAAACAAAGGTCCTGTATATACCCACTCTGTGTGAATTAAGCTCTGGGCCAAGGTCAGATTACATTCTGAGGATCATTCTGTTGCCGACCTGGGTCGAATATGTATATAAAATATTTAATATACTTCAGGTGCCCTTGATTTAGTTTGTTAGGGACATGGGATGGTCCCAAAAGTGCAAACTCCAGATTGTTTGTTTTAATTTATTTGATAATTAATAGTAGAAGGCTGCTCCAGCCAGAGACAAAACACACCAGTCAAACACACCTTGAGTACTTCGAATATTTGAAATGGGTAACTGCTCTGTAGGTCCCAGTAGTACCTGGATGAGGAAGCCATGGGTCCCCTCTTGACCGGCCCGTCCTCCTCTGCCTCGCCGACGGTGAAGGTGGCGGAGTTGCTGCTGTGACCCCTGACCCCGCCGTCTCCATGGCGCTCTCGGAACACCCGGATGTGTCCGCAGAGCGTCTGGAGGAAGGAAGTGATGTCTATCTCCTGGAGAGACTCCTCACAGTAGTCCATGGCTGTCAGCAAGTCCTGGGAACTGATGCTGTGGGACTGCTGCAGGCTGTGGTACACACCTAGGGGGAGAGAACACGATCATGCACACGCACGCACTTCAGATACATGCCTGCTCTGTCTTAATTCATCTTTCCACGATTCCTCAAATCTTATCTCCTCGCCTCCTTCTCAAGTGCATTAAAGGAGAACGTAAAAGTGGACGATCTCCAATGTAATCTGAAAATGAGGGGAGGAGAGAGGATGCAAGGAATATCTTAGCTACTAACTACATTATCAAAAACCTTCCACTATACTCTCAAATACGAATCTGGGCCAACTATTCCACGGTTAGTTCAGTCAAGTACAGCACATAAATCCACATAAAAAAACAGTGCCTTCAGAAAGCACTCACACCCCTTGAGTTTTTTCCAGATTGTGTTGAATTGAAAATGGATTACATTGGGCCTCCCGGGTGGCGCAGCGGTCTAAGGCACTGCATCGCAGTGCTAGAGGCGTCACTACAGACCTGGGTTCGATCCCAGGCTGTATCACAACCGGCCGTGATCGGGAGTCCCATAGCGCGGTGCACAATTGGCCTAGCGTCGTCCGGGTTAGGGGAGGGTTTGGCCGGGGTGCTTTACTTGGCTCATCGCGCTCTAGCGACTCCTTGTGGTGGGCTGGGCACCTGCAGCCAGACCTCGGTCGTCAGTTGAACAGTGTTTCCTCCGACACATTGGTGAGGCTGGCTTCCGGGTTAAGCGGGCAGGTGTTAAGAAGCGCGGTTAGGCGGGTCATGGTTGGGGAGTTGCTGTGATGAGACAAGATCGAAATTGAAGCACCAGTGATTCGGTCAATAAAGAAGTGGTCAGATGACGCAGATCCTAAGCTACAGGACTGTTCCGGGATTCTTCCGATGGCTTCATCAATAAGTGCATCGATGACGTTGTCCCCATAGTGAACGTACGTACATACCCCAACCAGAAGCTATGGATTACAGGCAACATCCGCACTGACCTAAAGGGTAGAGCTGCCGCTTTCAAGGAGCAGGACTCTAACCCGGACGCTTATAAGAAATCCTGCTATGCCCTCCAACAAACTATCAAACAGGCAAAGCATCAATACAGGACTAAGATTGAATCGTACTACACCGGCTCCGACGCTTGTCGGATGTGGCAGGGCTATTACAGACTACAAAAGGGAAGCACAGCCGCGAGCTGACCAGTGACACGAGCCTACCAGAGCACATAACACTGAAGCATGCATGAGAGCTTCAGCTGTTCCGGATGACTATGTGATCACGCTCTCAGTCGCCGATGTGAGTAAGACCTTTAAACAGGTCAACATTCACAAGGCCGCAGGGCCAGACGGATTACCAGGACGTACTCAACTGGAAAGTGTCTTCACTGACATTTTCAACCTGTCCCTGACTGAGTCTGTAATACCAACATGTTTCAAGCAGACCACCATAGTCCCTGCGCCCAAGAACACTAAGGTAACCTGCCTAAATGACTACCGACCCATAGCACTCACGTCTGTAGCCATGAAGTGCTTTGAAAGGCTGGTTATGGCTCACATCAACACCATTATCCCAGAAACCCTAGACCCACTCCAATTTGCATACCGCCCCCACAGATCCACAGATGATGCAATCTCTATTGCACTCCACACTGCCCTTTCCCACCTGGACAAAAGGAACACCTACGTGATAATGCTATTCATTGACTACAGCTCAGCGTAGTAGTTAGGACTAAACGCCTCCCTCTGCAACTGGATCCTGGACTTCCTGACGGGCCGCCTCCAGGTGGTATGGGTAGGTAACAACATCTGCCACGCTTATCCTCAACACGGGGGCCCCTCAGGGGTGTGTGCTCAGTCCCCTCCTGTACTCCCTGTTCACCCATGACTGCATGGCCAGGCATGACTCCAACACCATCATTAAGTTTGCTGACGACACAACAGTGGTAGGCCTGATCACCGACAACGATGAGACAGCCTATAGGAAGAAGGTCAGAGACCTGGCCGTGTGGTGCCAGGATAACAACTTCTCCCTCAATGTGATCAAGACAAAGGAGATGATTGTGGACTCCAGGAAAAAGAAGAGGACCGAGCACGCCCCCATTCTCGTCGACGGGGCTGTAGTGGAGCAGGTTGAGAGCTTCAAGTTCCTTGGTGTCCACATCACCAACAAACTACCATGGTCCAAACACACCAAGACAGTTGTGAAGAGGGCACGACAAAGCCTATTCCCCCTCAGGAGACTGAAAAGATCTGGCATGGGTCCTCAGATCCTCAAAAGGTTCTACAGCTTCACCATCGAGAGCATGCTGACTGGTTACATCACTGCCTGATATGGCAACTGCTCGGCCTCCGACCGCAAGACACTACAGAGGGTAGTGTGTACGGCCCAGTACATCACTGGGGCCAAGCTTCCTGCCATCCAGGACCTCTATACCAGGCGGTGACAGAGGAAGGCCCTAAAATGTGTCAAAGACTCCAGCCACCCTAGTCATAGACTGTTCTCTCTGCTACCGCACGGCAAGCGGTACCGGAGCGCCAAGTCTAGGTCCCAAAGGCTTCTTAACAGCTTCTACCCCCAAGCCATAAGACTCCTGAACAGCTAATCAAATGGCTACCCGGACTATTTGCATTGTAGTCACTTTAACTCTACCTACATGTACATATTACCTCAATTACCTTGACTAACTTGTGCCCCCGCACATTGACTCTGTACCGGTACCCCCTGTATATAGCCTCGCTACTGTTATTTTACTGCTGCTTTTTAATTATTTGTAATTTTTATTTTTTACTTATCTACTTTTTACTTAACACTTATTTTCTTAAACCTGCATTGTTGGTTAAGGGTTTGTAAGTAAGCATTTCACTGTAAGGTCTACACCTGTATTATTTGGCGCATGTGACAAAAACATGTTTGATTTGATTTCGGAGAAAAAGGGGGTCAAACACACCAAAAAAAACAAAACAAAAAAACATTTACATTGAGATTTTGTGGAATTATGTTTTTAATGGCTGTGATAGGATGGATCAACAACATTGTAGTTACTCCACAATACTAACCTAAATGACAGAGTGAAAAGGAAGCCTGTACAGAATAAAAATTATCAAAAACCTGCATACTGTTTGCAATAAGGCACTAAAGTAAAACTGCTAAAATTTGGCAAAGAAATTAACTTTATGTCGTGAATACAAAGCGTTACGTTTGGCGCAAATCCAACACAACACATCACTGAGTACCACTCTTCATATGTTATGGGTATGCTTGTCATCGGCAAGGACTAGGGAGTTTTGAATGTTCCTGAGAGGCTTAGTTACAGTTTGGATCAGTTTGAAAATCTATGGCAAGACTTGAAAATGGCTGATCAAAAACCAACTTGACAGAGCTTGAATAATGTGCAAATGTTGTACAATCCAGCTGTGCAAAGCTCTTAGAGACTTACCCAGAAAGACACAAAGCTGTAATCCCGTGTAGCTCAGTTGGTAGAGCATGGTGCTTGCAACGCCAGGGTTGTGGGTTCGTTTCCCACAGGGGGACCAGTATGAAAATGTATGCACTCACTAACTGTAAGTCGCTCTGGATAAGAGTGTCTGCTAAATGACTAAAATGTAAAAAATGTAATCGCTGCCAAAGCTGATTCTAACATGTAGTGACCCAGGGCTGTGAATACTTATGCAAATGAGACATTTCTGTATTTGACTTTCAATACATTTGCTAAAAATTATTCCCCCCAAAAATAACTTTGTCATTATGGGGTATTGTGTGTAGATGGGTGAGATTTATTTATTTTAATCAATTTATAATTCAGGCTGTAACACAACACAATTAATACTTTCTGAAGGCACTGTAATATACCCTAACAAATGAGTCAATACTTTTATCTGGATGTTGTTTATATCAAATTAATCTTGAGAGAACAGGTTTTAAATTGTGCTTTTTTTCAGTACCACAGGGTATACATTTTCTGTTAACCTCTCGACTCAGTGAGCAGTGAGCGAAAATATGCTGCCGTGGTGTGACTATATCTGCATGACAGACAGTCAGCACCTGAAATGTGCACCAATTTAAATCCATCAGGCTTGTCAGAGAGAAGCGGATATTTCGCCTCAACAGAGTTGTCTAGTGTGTGTGTGTGCGTGCATGCATGCGTCGTCTAGTTGCTCTCCTCCTGATTGACGTTTACAGATGCTTCTGCCAAGGAGCATAAAAGCCAATCCTGACAGTTTAAACACTCCTCTAATTGATTTTTCCGTCACTGGGATGACGCAGGTGAGAGATGGGGGCTGTCTGTCGTCGTGTTTAAAAAGCCCAGGCTTGCCCTGTAGTAGTGGAGGCGCTATCTTCGGGTCTATGTGTGTGTGTGTGTGTGTGTGTGTGTGTGTGTGTGTGTGTGTGTGTGTGTGTGTGTCGAGTCACAGGCCTAAAGGACTCTGTTCAACAGTAGTGCACTATATAGGGAATAGGGTGCAATGCACTGTTTAAAAGTAGTGTACTATATAGGGAATAGGGTGTAATTCCCTGATCAAAAGTAGTGTACTATATAGGGAATAGGAAGAGAATCAACTGCTAGCCTATACTGTGGTCAATAATAAACTTCTCCTGCCAACTGCTTTCCCCAGCACCAGTAGCCCATCTCATTTCCTTTTAGTGCCATAAAGCAGGGTACATTACCATTGGGTTCCTCTCTGCGTCAGTCATTTGCGAGTCAGAAGACAGAGGTACCGTATCTCATTTCCTGAACAGTATATTTAAGGGGTGTTTTATGACGTCTGGCTGTCGCAGTGGTCAAATGCTAGCTACACAGACAGATTAAGCGGTCAGACTGGACTGGTCATCTTTGACTTAGTCTCTCGTGACAGGCTGTTACCAAAAATGTTAATGTCTGTCAGCGATACTTGCTGGCAGTAGTGTCTTACCTTTGACATAACACTGGTGGTAGTGCTCCTGTAGCAGGCTGCAGTAGTTGGCCAGCTCCTTATTTTTATGAGGCTGCGACATCAGGTCTGTCCAGGAGGAGGTGCTGCTGCGTTCCTGAGATAGAGATCTGCAGGGGGAAGAGGACAGACATCGGCCAGACAAACACACACACACCGGACACACACAAAAAAAAACAACACCGTTAGAGAAGAAGAAGAGGAGAAAGCTCAGAATCAGGAAGCCAAATAGTAGATCTGTGGAAGTAACATACAAGCCATAGAAAGGAGGGAGCATAGCCTAATCATTAGATATAACACGGTTATTTTACACACCCCTTTGAAAACACAATCTCATCTCACCCCCCAATTAACATGCCGCATATCTCCTTTGCAAACACAGTCTCTAATCTCACGTCATAAAAAACACAAATCTCTGATGATATTTAATCTCTGTTAGAAAATAAACACACTGTCCAGCTCCATGTAATGTTGCATTATGCATTGAGGAGGATGCTGTTAAAGTCTATTAGCTTGAGGATGAGCGGTCACTGAACAACATTAGAGCTCCAAAGCGTGCTTTTTAACGGGGGAAATAAGCAGTTCCGAAAATGTATCCAATATGTCAATACTATGTGTCTAATGTTAATCTGAGATCAGCACATGGTCGGTCCTGTCCTATGATACACAAGTGTATAATTCCCATATTTGACTTGACTTGGAACTTGCGGATGAAAAAAAAAAAGTACCAAGGAACTTGTTTATTCATTAAAAACATGAATTGTTTAATCATAGGCTTAGAGGAGAGACTTTCATAGCACCACGCCCATGGCATCAAGTAGGGTCTGCAAAAGTCACCACAACCCCCAGAGAAGCATGAAAATACTACTGCAACTGCATGAACCAAATTTGATTTTCTGGGAACATGCAATTAGTTAGATATTGTCAGTTCACACAGCAGACATGTTGATTTTTGACAGTTCCACCCATTGGTATCTGACTGCAGAGAGAGAGACCGCCTCCTACAAGAAGCTATGAGCTCCAGCAAACATAAGTGCCTTGTGGAGTCAAGCCTTCAATTATGCAAATTAATATAAAGTCAAAATGTCTAGAGGTGACAGTCTTATCTGGAGGCAGATACCAACCTCCCAATAGCAACACAGGCCTGGAGTGAGTGAGAGAGAGATGCCCTCAGCCTCACCCACTTAGAGAGGAGGAGCAACCTCTCCCTGGTATGAAAAAGGAGGAGCTAGGAGCATGTGGCCAGGCCTAAGTCCCTCCCACAGGCACTGACTCGAAACCCCATCAATTAATCTTTCCATGAGTCCTTGTGTCTTTTCTCCTCACCTCCTTCTCAACCGTATTGGAGGAGAACGTCCAAGGTCCCTCCCTTCAGACCTTCTTCTCCTATGTCTTTTGAGAAAGATGCAAGGAGATAAGATGCAAGGAATTGAGGAAAGATTCATTGAGATTGATCTCACCACAGCTCTACACCAGGAAGGGACGGAGGGGAGGAGGAAGAGGAGGATGGGGGGGGGGGGGGGGGGGGGGGGGGGGGGTAGGTGCGCAGCAGGATGATGGAAGCAGCAGCAAGCTAGCTGTGCTGTGCTGTGCTGTGTGCTGTGCTACCTGAACTTCATCTGCTGATACATCTCCCAGGAGTCAGCGTCTTGAGGTCTATTTTTCACCATAGTACAGGAAAACAATCAGAGATGCACAATGTTAGCATGGGGCTCAACCAACAACAATGAGCTTGCTGGTAGCCAATGTTAAGTGAAGGGTAGACTTATGAAGGGTATGAAGGGTATAATCTGGTATGGCATGGTAGGACTTCTGACTGTGAGCGTTTCAAGAGGCAGTCACATATGATGGATGGTAAGGTGATTAAACGGATGATAAGTAAAGTGCTGCATACACGGAGCCTTGGATCTGCCCTGTTCCGCTCACAACACCTGGGTTCAAATTGAATTTGTTTCCTCCTCAATACTCCTCAGTCCCAGACAGCTGGTTTTTCCATTCTGAGAATATTCAAGTGATAACATTGAATTGGGCAAGCTCCTTCCTCAATCAAGTGCAGCTAAAGTATTTGAAAGAAAACAAATCCTATTTGAACCCAGATGTGCTCCCCATCAGTAGTCCCAGTGTGTGTATGGGTGTGTGTTACTGGGTACCTGAAGAAGATGTCCCTTGGCTGCCTGTTAGAGTGGGGATTGAGTAGCTGATCCTTCAGAGAGTCCAGGGAACAGTTATAGACGTATACGGGGCAGCGCAGACGGGACAGGTCCCCTGAGCTCTGCTGGGACGCCTGGCGACTGAACGTGATGTGGAAGTCTCTCTTCTGGGGCTCAGCGAACTGCACCCCGTCCCTCTCCTCCACACCTGAGAGAGGGAGAGAGAGAGAGACAGAGACGAAAATCATTTCCAATTTGCTCAGGGAGCCCCATCCCTTTCCTTCCCTTTCACAACAGTAACATTATGTTATTGCAGAGCGAGAGACAGATATAAATACAGAGGGTTGGGTTAGTGATGAGGTACAGTATGTTGGTAGGAAAGGACTAATGACACAATAATCCTATAGTACTTACCTGCACCTTTGGTGCCATTTTCTGGCTCAGAGGGACGGCTCTCCCAGTTGTCCTGCTCCACCGTGGAGCTCCCAGATCCAGGGGAGAGCAGGGGCGACCTGGGTCCCGCAGGACCACCACCACCAGGGGAGAGCATGGGGGACCTCAGCCCGCCACTCAACCCACCATCCAGCCCATTGGTGGAGCCAGAGTGAGAATCAGCCTGTGATTTGTTGCTGGTAGTCAGGGTGTCGTCATCATCTCCGTTATCCTGGGGCTCTGTCTCCAGCCCAGATGACATCAACATCTGGACATCTGCAGAGAAAACACAACAAAGTTCAATTCCAAGAGCTTTATTGACATAGTACCGTAAATGTTGTACATTTTAGTCATTTAGCAGACAGTCTTATCCAGAGCGACTTACAGTTACTGCATTCGTCTTAAGATAGCTAGGTGCTATAACCACATATCACAGGCATAGAACGTAAATTTTTCCTCAATAACGTAGCTATCAGTAGAGTCAGAGCTGGGGGGGGGGGGGGGGGGGTCATTATTATTTTAACAAAAAATTTGGGGGGGGGGGGGGGGGGGTTAGCAACATCTATGAACACCAGCACTGTAGCTGTACCACTTTATGATGATAAGCATGTCGATCACAATCAGTTAAAACTAGCACATGATGCCAGGCTGGTGGCTAGCCTAAGTACATAGGATTCGTATGACTATTGTACAGCACACAACTACAGCAGAGCACAGAGAACAGTAGCGGGTACCTACCTGTGAAGGTGGAAGGGAGGAAGGTCAGTAGGATCTGTTGGGGGCTGATGTACTTGGCGTAACACTTCCACTGAGGGGTAGACCCATCCCTCTCCACTGGGACTGCCTCCTCATCCACCAGGTCTGCATTGCTGAAACTCTGAGAGAAAGAGGGGACAAACTGAGGCATAACTGAGCAGGACAAGTGTTACAAAATAGACAAAAACAAGTTTTGCCCAAGGTGGACAGAGTTTCAATGAGAGGAAGAAGAGGGTAGTATAAACCATGTCTGGACATCCAAAACAGAACCTCTGGCCAACTGGTGGTTTTACATTGTTTTTACACTGCATAAAACCAATATCAATGCCAAGGAGAAACCTTCTGGATATCTTTCCCTGAAGAGAGAATGCAGACTGGTTAAAAGGTTTACCTGAAGGGTACTGGTTGATCCTGTCACCTCCTTACTGCTCCCTGTAGTGTGGAAGGACATCACTGTGTCCTGTCTCTCTGGAGGTTTCAGGCACTCTTCTGTCAAGGGAAAGTAACAATACCAATCACTCAATCAATCAAAACATTGAAAGGAACCACATTGGCAAGGCAATTACAACATGTGTGCAGGAGTATAGGATGTTGTTACATAATTAATACAATCATTAGCAGGATTCTGTTCTTTTCAGTCAGTCAACATGTATTTATAACGCCATTTCTACATCAACAGTTGTCACAAAGTGCTTTACATGAACCCAGCCTAGACCCCAAAGAACAAGCAGGTGCATAGCAGAAGCACACATTTGCAATGCCTACCTCTGATGACAGGTAGAGAGAAGGGTGCAACATGTCCGTCTCGTTCCCTGTCTAGGATGTGATGCATGAAGGTGACGTTGTCCTGGTCAGCCAATGGGATCTCCCGGTCACTGAGCTCCTGTTGCAAGCTGCTGTGGAACAGGCTCAGCAGGAGCTCGTTGGGAATATAGGGGGTACTCTGGGACACCTCCTCATTCTCCACTGCAAGACACACAAATAAGTATCCATTAATTCATCCACCATCTTCAGAATATTGCAGCGACAACACCTAGCGACCAAGTCAAGATGTAATGGCTAAGGTGTTGGGCTAACAGTCGCAGAGACTCAGGTTTGAGCGATTCCTTGAATTTGCTACAATTTATAAATTAATGTTTGATAACAATAAGATCCTTGAAGACATTATAACATGATCAAATTCACCTCTGCTGAGAGTGAGGAAGAAGATTTCTATCTGTTGGCACTTGGGCAGCAGCTCTATGAGGTCAAACTGGAAGGGAACAGTGTGGATGCAGTCCTCAGAGGCTGGGGGTTCCCCTGCAGCGGGCCCGGTGGGAGGGTACACCTGCTCCTTGTTCTGGCACAGCTGGCTCAGGTACTCAAACGTCATCATGGTGGACATACACGTCAGATCCCGGGGGAAGATCTGTGGATAAAGTAAACTCACAATTGTATTTATTTATTTATATATGTATATTAACCCCCCTCTTCGGAAGACACATATATTTTTTGGTTTTTACATATTTTCTGCTACATATACATTTTACATTTTAGTCATTTAGCAGACGCTCTTATCCAGAGCGACTTACAGTTAGTGAGTGCATACATTTTCATACTGGCCCCCCATGGAAAATGAACCCACAACCCTGGTGTTGCAAGCGCCATGCTCTACCAACTGAGCTCCAGGGGACTGTAGATACATTTTATATATATATTTTACATATACATTTTAGATACATGGTACTTTTATATACAGAAATCATATACAATAATACATTACTGAACATAAACTCTTTAATCCCACCCCTCAGCCACTCTCAGCCGATCCCACCTATCACCATAGACCACCCTCATTTGGTTTCCATGTGCCAAATATTTTTCAATTGTGCTGTGATGTGTAAATTAATTTTCTACCTTTCTAATAGCATAGTATCCTCAGATTGTGAGCTAAAGATGAAAACCTTTCCTACGAGTATTATTATATTACTGATTGATTGACTATGGCTTTCCAAATCGCCCAACACTGCTATTTGTAAGATTAATTTGAAGTAAATGTTATGTTTTTTAACCATTCCTGAACCTGTGACCAGAAACAACCTACATAGGGGCAATACCAGAATACATTATCTAGTGATTCTGTCTCTTCGCAGCAAAATCTACAGAGCTGAGACTGTTGTATGCCCCATATATACACAGTGCATTCGGGAAAGTATTCAGACCCCTTCCCTTTATCCACATTTTGTTACATTAAAGCTTTAGTCTAAAATTGACTAAATACAAATATGTTCTTATCAATCTACACACAATACCCCATAATGACAAAGCGAAAAAAGGGTTTTATAATTTTTTCCACATATAAAAAACAGAAATACCTTATTTAAATAAGTATTCAGACCCTTTGCTATGAGACTCGAAATTGAGATCAGGTGCATCCTGTTTCCATTGATCATCCTTGAGATGTTTCTACAACTTGATTGGAGTCCACCTGTGGTCAATTCAATTGATTGGACATGATTTGGAAAGGCACACACCTGTCTATATAAGGTCACACAGTTGACAGTGCATGTCAGAGCAAAAACCAAGCCATGAGGTCAAAGGAATTGTCCGTAGAGCTCCGAGACAGGATTGTGTTGAGGCACAGATCTGGGGAAGGGTACCAAAACATGTCTGCAGTATTGAAGGTCCCCAAGAACATAGTGGCCTCCATTATTCTTAAATGGAAGAAGTTTGGAACTCCAAGACTCTTCCTAGAGCTGGCCACCTGGCCAAACTGAGCAATCGGGGGAGAAGGGCCTTGGTCAGGGAGGTGACCAAGAACCCGATGGTCACTCTCTCTGACAGAGCTCCAGAGTTCCTCTGTGGAGATGAGTGAACCTTCCAGAAGGACAACCATCTCTGCAGCACTCCACCAATCAGGCCTTTATGGTAGAGTGGCCAGACGGAAGCCACTCCTCAGTAAAAGGCACAAGACAGCCCGCTTGGAGTTTGCCAAAAGGCACCTAAAGGACTCTCAGACCATGAGAAACAAGATTCTCTGGTCTGATGAAACCAAGATTGAACACTTTGGCCTGAATGCCAAGCGTCATGTCTGGAGGAAACCTGGTACCATCCCTATGGTGGTGGTAGCATCCTGCTGTGGGGATGTTTTTCAGCGGCAGGGACTGGGAGACTAGTCAGTATCGAGGGAAAGATGAACAGAGTAAAGTACAGAGAGATCCTTCATGAAAACCTGCTCCAGAGCGCTCAGGACCTCAGACTGGGGTGAAGGTTCCCCTTCCACAATTTACTCCATTTTAGAATAAGGCTGAAAAAGTCAAGGGGTCTGAATACTTTCCGAATGCACTTTATAGCATTCTGTTGGTGGCAATAATTTTGTTTAATAATTTAAATCGAAAACATTTGAAGTGTTGAATCAAGTGTTGTTTTTTGTATCAGTACATATAACGTGCCATGTAATCGGCACATCGAAAATCTCTTCTTTTTTTTGCAACCTGTATTACATTTACATTTTAGTCATTTAGCAGACGCTCTTATCCAGAGCGACTTTACAGTTAGTGAGTGCATACATTTTTTTTTTCTTCTTACTGGCCCCCCATGGGAATCGAACCCACAACCCTGCCGTTGCAAGTGCCATGCTCTACCAACTGAGTTACACGGGGTCTGTACGGTGCAGCTGGCAACATTTTTGTCCTCAAATGAAACTGGTATATTTTCCAATTCCTTTCAGCCAATTTGTATCTTTAATATATAGCTGACAAACAAGTTCCCTACCTTCCCTCTCTTCCAATTGCCTCCTCCATATTTGTGGTAATGCTGCAATCAGTTAGTTGTAAGTTAGGATTGAGCAGACAACTTTTGATGCCAGCAAGAATGAGACCAGGAACTAGTCAAGACGGCTAGCTTGTTTAAGCCTCCTCCATGTACAGTGGGGAGAACAAGTATTTGATACACTGCCGATTTTGCAGGTTTTCCTACTTACAAAGCATGTAGAGGTCTGTAATTTTTATCATAGGTACACCTCAACTGCGAGAGACGGAATCTAAAACAAAAATCCAGAAAATCACATTGTATGATTTTTAAGTAATTAATTTGCATTTTATTGCATGACATAAGTATTTGATACATCAGAAAAGCAGAACTTAATATTTGGTACAGAAACCTTTGTTTGCAATTACAGAGATCATACGTTTCCTGTAGGTCTTGACTAGGTTTGCACACACTGCAGCAGGGATTTTGGCCCACTCCTCCAAACAGACCTTCTCCAGATCCTTCAGGTTTCGGGGCTGTCGCTGGGCAATACGGACTTTCAGCTCCCTCCAAAGATTTTCTATTGGGTTCAGGTCTGGAGACGGGCTAGGCCACTCCAGGACCTTGAGATGCTTCTTACGGAGCCACTCCTTAGTTGCCCTGGCTGTGTGTTTCGGGTCGTTGTCATGCTGGAAGACCCAGCCACGACCCATCTTCAATGCTCTTACTGAGGGAAGGAGGTTGTTGGCCAAGATCTTGTGATACATGGCCCCATCCATCCTCTCCTCAATATGGTGCAGTCGTCCTGTCCCCTTTGCAGAAAAGCATCCCCAAAGAATGATGTTTCCACCTCCATGCTTCACGGTTGGGATGGTGTTCTTGGGGTTGTACTCATCCTTCTTCTTCCTCCAAACATGGCGAGTGGAGTTTAGACCAAAAATATCTATTTTTGTCTCATCATACCACATGACCTTCTCCCATTCCTCCTCTGGATCATCCAGATGGTCATTGGCAAACTTCAGACGGGCCTGGACATGCGCTGGCTTGAGCAGGGGGACCTTGCGTGCGCTGCAGGATTTTAATCCATGACGGCGTAGTGTGTTACTAATGGTTTTCTTTGAGACTGTGGTCCCAGCTCTCTTCAGGTCATTGACCAGGTCCTGCCGTGTAGTCCTGGGCTGATCCCTCACCTTCCTCATGATCATTGATGCCCCACGAGGTGAGATCTTGCATGGAGCCCCAGACCGAGGGTGATTGACCGTCATCTTGAACTTCTTCCATTTTCTAATAATTGCGCCAACAGTTGTTGCCTTCTCACCAAGCTGCTTGCCTATTGTCCTGTAGCTCATCCCAGCCTTGTGCAGGTCTACAATTTTATCCCTGATGTCCTTACACAGCTCTCTGGTCTTGGCCATTGTGGAGAGGTTGGAGTCTGTTTGATTGAGTGTGTGGACAGGTGTCTTTTATACAGGTAACGAGTTCAAACAGGTGCAGTTAATACAGGTAATGAGTGGAGAACAGGAGGGCTTCTTAAAGAAAAACGAACAGGTCTGTGAGAGCCGGAATTCTTACTGGTTGGTAGGTGATCAAATACTTATGTCATGCAATAAAAATGCAAATTAATTACTTAAAAATCATACAATGTGATTTTCTGGATTTTTGTTTTAGATTCCGTCTCTCACAGTTGAAGTGTACCTATGATAAAAAGGTACCTCTACATGCTTTGTAAGTAGGAAAACCTGCAAAATTGGCAGTGTATCAAATACTTGTTCTCCCCACTGTATATCTCATTAGGTCAGAGGTTTCCTTAACTGCATGGGGGTGATAGTTTGTAGTGTGATGTATTTTACAATCCATTGAGGTACTTAAAACCGTATTGTAATCTCCCACCATAATAATAGATACTTTTGTTACTTGTGAGCTCAATAGATTATTATATATATTTTCGAAGAAGTGTGAATCATCATTATTTGACCCATATAGATTAATTAGCCAGATCTGTTTTTGGTCCAATAGCATATTTAAAAGGATCCATCTTCCTTGAGGATCTGTTTGCACAAATCAGATCAACATTGTTGTTATTTAATATAATCCCCCCGTTTGAGTGTCTTTGCCCATGATAAAAATATATTTCTCCCTCCCAGTCCTTTTTCCACCCAACCTCATCTATATTTTCAGAGTGAGTTTCCTGTAAACGATAGATAGTTTCAAATATACTTAACACAACCAATGTTTGTAAACTTACCATCAAAAAGCGTCATGATTATTAAGTGTCTATATAGCTGTACCATAATATTTGCACTGTTAAGCATACTGTAGCTGCAACTGTGTAAACCTCCAATTGTCTTAACATTCCACCCACTAAAACCTCCCCCCATATCTCGGAGGTCTGTTGTCACTAAGACCATCAGACCATCTCCCTGACACATGACGCACCTTCGCGTCCTAAGGCAAACCTTTGGCCGCCAATTGGCATAGGCCAGAGGGAAAAATGGGCAGTCCCATGATAACATAATTCAATACTGCCACCCTTCACTCACACATTCAAAGCCACATAGGTCTATTGTATATCTATGAGGGTGCTTTTTAAGACAGAACTAACCAAATAACATGGAAATCAGTCAGAAAAAGACAATAATAACAATAATAATAACAGATAATATTAATATAAATAATAACAGCACAATATTATAGATTCGTGCTCATACTGTCCCCTGTAGCTCAGTTGGTAGAGCATAGCGCTTGCAACGCCAGGGTTGTGGGTTCGTTTCCCACGGGGGGCCAGTATGAAAATGTATGCACTCACTAACTGTAAGTCGCTCTGGATAAGAGCGTCTGCTAAATGACTAAAATGTAAAATGTATTAAGAAAGTCCTAGCAAAGGCTATAAGCATGTCAGCCTAGCCTGCTCAGTTCATTGGATCCAATTGTTTGAAAAAATGAAGAGAAAAATACCCATAAATATCACAAGACCAGTTATTTATGTCCATTACAAGCACGCTGCCTATTGGCAGAGAGACATCTTTCATGTAGTCCTTATTATATCCTGTTATATTCGGAACATACATTTTAACAGCCGCTAATGACTTCCTGTAAAATGTTGTCTTACGCATCACACTACCCATGAAGGGATACATAAGTTTAACTTACTATCAAGCCTGACACAGCCATGGCACGATAGTAAAGACGACATGCAGTACTGACAATCTAGAACGAGCAAACCTGTAAAACCAACCCGCTCTCCACCCACACACATTTTGTTTTTATTCTATGGTCGTTTCTCTAGGACCTCGGCTGTTTTACACATACTGACCGCCTGTGGTATCCCCTGGTAGGTGAGCTCCTGGAAGTGTCTATGTTGGTCTCTGGGGCTCCATACTGTCCCACTCTGAGGCTCTACCCAACACTCTGTCACCAGGTTGAGCTCTGTGTCCACATCAATGGCCTCCACCTCTGTTTCGTTGTCATCGTCTGTGGAGAAACTGGAGACCCCATGATGGAAGACAAGGGGTCAGGACAGGAGGAGACATACAGAAGCTTATTCAGCAATAGCACCATTTACTGACTAAATAACCAGCAAAATATACCAAAGTGTTCAAAAGGTTAAAAAAATATATATGTTATTATAAATGTTTAATATTTGTAGATACAGTTGGAGAATGTGTATAATTTGTGGAACTGGTGGAATAAAGCAATAGAACCAATGGCCAAATATTCTATGGAATTCAGTCTGACCTGTCCTTGGTAGAGGTGGAGTGAGGTGGAAACAGGATATACTGGACGATACAGGTGTGACTTTCTCTGTCCACCGCCTCTGGCATCCCCTACGAGCACACCATCACAAGTCATCATTACAATGGGATTTTTATAGGAATTCAATGCAAACACTATACAGTAATAAACTGTCTGGCCTCAATATGTCCAGATTAGAACATATGTATGTGTGTATTGTGTAGAATAATCTTCCTTTCAGTGTTAATGTAGACAGCGCTACATTAGTATTTTTTGGTTACAATTTAACAATTTTACTTATGAAGGACTCAAAGGTTTTGTGAGAGGGTTTTTGTACTGAGTTCATCTGGGTTTAGTAAATGTTTGCTGTCCCTAAGTGTCCCAGTACCCCAGCATGCTACTCTCACCTTCATTGGCAGTTCAGTCACCATGTTGACTATGCCCTCTCCACTGGAAGCAAAATGAAAGCCTTCAGAGAGGCGAATCCTGGGGAAACAAGTCAGATGATGTTAGTACCCCTAAGACCTTCCTAACAACTCTCTGATATGATAATGATGATGACTTCATTACATTCGTATGGAGAGTCTTTCTGTGTCATAAAGCATGTCAGCATACAGATATTCATGTAAACAGGCGTACAGCAAATCACAAACATTACATACATAGTGCACGAGTCAGGTCACATTAGACATGCCAGTGGGACTCACTCAGACAGCATGGACAGTATATGAGCCACAGCCTGCAACGGTACGGTAGATCCCAGGCCGCTCTGCACCGTCCACACCCACCGCTGGTGGAGGAAGTAGCGTGACAGAGACGCCAGCGTGGATGAGGCCGTCCGATTGGCTGCCATGCTGAGGGGCACGGTCATGTTGATGGGCTGGGTGAAGTTCTCCATGTTCAGAATAAACGGGGTCCGGAAGTCTGACGGGAGCTTCTCGTACCTACAGGAGGAGATTGGAAACCGTTAGATTCAGAGTACCGGTACTCATGTTTATAATTGGGTAAAATGTCTTCATAATCCAAATTTAGGTCTGATACTTTATGTTTTATGACCTCAATAATTGTAATCTACAGTAATAAGCCACATAACTGAAAAAATGGCCATGCTCAAGGCACAAATCTGACAACATTCCACTGACCTGATGAGTAGTTTCTCCAGAGGTTTGTTGAGGACCACCACACATGGCCGGTCAGAGAGCGCAGGTTTGGGAGCAGGGAGAGGAGGAGACTTGGAGGGGGACGCGTGCCCCAAAATCTTCCTCTTGGTCTTTGGCGTAGCCTCCTTGTTCTGGACGCGGTGAGGGAAGCGAAGCCTCAGGATCTGTTCCCGCAGCTCATCCACTATCTGTGGGCCAGAGAAAAGGTTGGGCTGAAGAATAGGATGGGTTGGTTCCCTCGCAGACAGTTCAGCTTAGTTCACTTGCCTTTATTGGCCTTGTTCATGATTCTTTTTTGCATCTTCAGCAATGAGTTAACAATCAACATTTACATAAACGGCAACTAAAGGTCACACCAACAGAGGGTTGCAGCATTCTGAGAAAAAAAGGTGACGTTTCACCTAGCGACTGACATCTTTCTGCTTGTTAGTTCCATTTAGTGAGGAGAAATAGGCACAGCTCTTGAGATTAAAAATATAGATTTTAATCAAAAATGGTTAGAAGTGTTTCTGGTTTGGACCATGTCCCATACCTTGTTCCTGGTGTGGGCCAGGGTGCCGATAGGGAAGCCCAGCCTCAGCACCATGCAGGGAGCCTTGGAGATCAGACGCACCAGATAGAAGGAGTTGGGGGGCTGGTCAGAGGCACTGGGGACAGAACAGGACATTCATTAAAACCTTACTCAAGTCATTTACTGTAGCTCAATCCAGACCTGGGTTAAGATAGTATGTGTTTTCTTTCAAATACTTTGAGCATGTGATTGAATATGCCTCAAGTGGTTTTGCCATTTTGAGACTATTCCATTTGTTCATTCAATCACAGTTTAAGTATAATATAATAATAATATGCCATTTAGCAGACGCTTTTATCCAAAGCGACTTACAGTCATGCGTGCATACATTTTTGTGTATGGGTGGTCCCGGGGATCGAACCCACTACCTTGGCGTTACAAGCGCCGTGCTCTACCAGCTGAGCTACAGAGGACCAAGTATTTGAAAGAAAAAACAAACACTATTTAAACACAGTTCTATCTCACTCCACAATGTGAACAACATTTCCCATGAGTCTCTCTGCCTCTACCTGTATATGAGCTTGACATATGAGTATCCCTCCACCAGTACAAAGCTGCTCCAGTCCCTCAGTAAAGAGGTGAGGGCTGAGTGGGAGATACGACACTGGATGGTGCTGAAACGCCCGTTACTACCGGCAGTGTGGAGGTGCTTGGGCACAGGCCTGCAGAGAAGACAAGACAGGAGATCACCATTACAATGACTGGGGAAATAATAAACAAATGTATTCTGAAGTTGTACGTAGACCTGAAATAGTTTTTAAAAAAAGATTCTACCTAGATTTGACTAATTATACTAAATGACTGGGAGAGGACTGCTCTCAGTGATACATCACTTTACAGTACATCTAAAATGAGAAATGTAATCAGTATGAATTAACAACATTGTAATTTAAGACACTGACACCAGAAGTTAGTGTAGTATCTATAAACCATCTCTCACATGTCATGCTCCAGGATTATGGCAATGCGGTGCATGTGAAGCCATCTCTGCCAGAAGTTGGCGTCCATGGACAGGATAGGCTTCCAGTAGGAGGCAAACTGGGACTGGGAGGAGTCCTTAGAGCCACTGTGCTGGAGAGAGAGAACCTGAAGGAAACAGCATAGGAACACTGTGACTATCTGTCCTTAGGTTACTAGGATCAATGGCCCATATTCATAAAGTGTCTCAGAGCAGTCGGATACAGGATCAGTTTTGCCTTTGTGATTATAAGATCAGTTTTGTCTTTTAGACCATAACAAATAAAACTATGGAAAGTGGGGACCTGATCTGAGATCAGCTGTATGAATATAGGCCAATGTAAGAATGAATTTGAAAAATCAGTGCTAGTAAGAGTAAAGGATTAACCAGAGCAGACAGAGTACATACTGGCGTGGTGGATCCAGGTGGGATGTAGAAGAGAGGAACCCCATTCTTGGTGCTCTCAGGGATTGTGTAGTTCTCTGGGAGAGAGTTAAAAGACTGCAGGTGGACCAGCATCTGATCTGTCTGGTTTATACTGTGAAGAAAAAGAGCATAATAACATGTGTTTTAACAGGAGAAATGCAGAGTATACACTTACAAAATCTTGTACTTGGAATTCAATTCAGTGTTTCCCCTATATTCACTGACACCACTCCAAATTATTATTATTATAATTATTTGTTTTAATAATTTCCGGTATAATAAAACGTTTTCAGTGTAAACTTAAACGAATAAAACCAGAGATAAAGTATATACAATTGATAATGGAGCTACAGTATATAAACTCAGCAAAAAAAGAAACGTCCCTTTTTCAGGACCCTGTCTTTCAAAGATAATTCGTAAAAATACAAATAACTTCACAGATCTTCATTGTAAAGGGTTTAAACACTGTTTCCCATGCTTGTTCAATGAACCATAAACAATTAATGAACATGCACCTGTGCAACGGTCGTTAAGACACTAACAGCTAACAGACGGTAGGCAATTAAGGTCACAGTTATGAAAACTTAGGACACTAAAGAGGCCTTTCTACTGACTCTGAAAAACACCAAAAGAAAGATGCCCAGGGTCCCTGCTCATCTGCGTGAACGTGCCTTAGGCATGCTACAAGGAGGCATGAGGACTGCAGATGTGGCCAGGGCAATTAATTGCAATGTCCGTACTGTGAGACACCTAAGACAGCGCTACAGGGAGACAGGACGCAGTGGCAGACCACGTGTAACAACACCTGGACAGGATCGGTACATCCGAACATCACACCTGCGGGACAGGTACAGGATGGCAACAACAACTGCCCAAGTTACACCAGGAACGCACAATCCCTCCATCAGTGCTCAGACTGTCCGCAATAGGCTGAGAGAGGCTGGACTGAGGGCTTGTAGGCCTGTTGTAAGGCAGGTTCTCACCAAACATCACCGGCAACAACGTTGCCTATGGGCACAAACCCACCGTCGCTGGACTAGACAGGACTGGCAAAAAGTGCTCTTCACTGACGAGTCGCGGTTTTGTCTCACCAGGGGTGATGGTCGTATTTGCGTTTATCGTCGAAGGAATGAGCGTTACACCGAGGCCTGTACTCTGGAGTGGGATCGATTTGGAGGTGGAGGGTCCGTGTTCTGCCACGGCCAGCGAAGAGCCCGGATTTCAATCCCATTGAGCATGTCTGGGACTTGTTGGATCGGAGGGTGAGGGCTAGGGCCATTTCCCCCAGAAATGTCCGGGAACTTGCAGGTGCCTTAGTGGAAGAGTGGGGTAACATCTCACAGCAAGAACTGACAAATCTGGTGCAGTCCATGAGGAGGAGATGCACTGCAGTACTTCATGCAGCTGGTGGCCACACCAGATACTGACTGTTACTTTTGATTTTGACCCCCCCTTTGTTCAGGGACACATATTCAATTTCTGTTAGTCACATGTCTGTGGAACTTGTTCAGTTTATGTCTCAGTTGTTGAATCTTGTTATGTTCATACAAATATTTACACATGTTAAGTTTGCTGAAAATAAACGCAGTTGACAGTGAGAGGACGTTTTTTTTTTTGCTGAGTTTATATATGTTTAAATAATAATCTTTGAGAACTAACAATCATCAAAATAAAAACTAGACATTTAGGGAGAATCTAACATTTAAAAAATGTCATGGCATGGGGACCCCATTGATTTTGTTATAATGTTTGAGTCACTCAGATAGCATAGGACACGGCATAAGACATGGCAAAATGTGTAGAATTGCTTTAAAACAATTTTAAGTAGGTTCTATGATTATCTATTATAGGAGTAACACTAAAATATATATTTTTCAATAGAATAGTATCCTTAACAATGAGCTGTATCAGTGTGTTTCCCTAGCAGTTTCCTTAGGCAGATTGATACAGGTGAGTCAAAGGTCACCTCTGCAGTGTGTTCCAGAAGCGCCTGATGACGGAGGTGCGGTAGGTTGAGGTGATGGGTTTCCTCATGGTACAGCTGATATCATGAAGGATGTCGTAGCTTCCCTCCATGGTGACCTCTACCCAAGTGGTCCTCTTGGCAGGGTCCAGGGGCCACTGGGCCACCGCCAGGTACTCTATACGCATGTTGTGTTTCCAAAGCAACACCAGCTTCACCTCCAGCTGGGTGCCACCTAGAGGAGGGACCAAAACACAAACTGAAACATTGCCTTTATATAAATAGTTTGGTTTATTTAATACTGTATACAGTAAGTCTGGAAAAGTGGAAGAAAGTTGGCCTTGTGGATGCACTTGCAGTAAAACAGATGTTCTATATCGTGGGTCTTGTGTGGACAGTAGAAAGTAACTTTAATGTTAGGCTTGAGGCTAATCTCGCCCACCAGCCTGCTCTCTCTCTCTCTCTCTGTCGAGACTTCTGGTTTCTGAGCGCCTCAGAACAGGACTTGACTAGAAGTCTATGGCAGGAGCAGACAAAACAACCGCTTGCTTTAATTGGCTGATCTCTCAGTCCATCACCATCTAGCACAAGCCTTAGAACCTCCTCTCTACATTGTGGATTTCAATCAGAAAGTCTGCATCTTAGAACTAGTTTTCACATATAAACGTTATATGCCAATCAGAATCAATTGGGCTTCCCAAAAATAATACGGTCGCTGTGATAGAACATTTATTTTTATTGCCGATTTTCTGCAAGTCCAATCTAATACAGCTGTAGCAGGCTCTCTTTCTCTCCCATCTCGATTTTAACCCACACCCCTTTCATTGCCACTTTGTTGCACAGTGTTTCCAGGCACTATATGTGTTAGCAATTGAGCTTGGAACGAGATTAGGCTTGAGGCTGGTGTGAGCCGGTACCTTTAGTGAGGTTGATCTCCCTGATGGTGTATCCCTCTCTCAGTCTGACCGACACCACACTGACTAGGTGGGCGTGCACTTCCTTCTCTGTGTGCTTCTTCCTCCTCATCACTAACGCAGGGTTCCCACTGGCTGACACCAGGTGCTCGTTGAACAGCTTGTGCTGAGACACTGGAAAACAGAATTGTTAACATGCCAACAAGATGTTCAATGTTTATAACAGCTTACAATTAGCCAATAAGTCTGCCATTTGAGCCAAAGTAATGGTCTGCTGAACTGCCTGCCAGCACTGTATCATTGCTCTACCTAGATGCTTTATTTAGAAGCAGTAAAATGCATATAAAAAAAAATGTATATGAAATGAAAGTACAATTATCAACATCATGCATTTTCACTTCCTCTGTTGATATCTCCACTGTGACAAACTCTCCTCCAGTAAAACAATACACCGGTAGGTAGGTATAGTATTTAACGTAATGAGAGATATTGGGAAGGAAAGACTGTAAAAAGACAGCCCATTTCATTATGTCTAGGTGAAGTCAGACCCAGCCATTAAACATTGTCCTTTCATCTGCATCTCTTTATGTTAAACCACTCAATATAAAGACTGACTTCTATTCAGAGAGCAGCCATCACTGTGGGTGTCTCCAACACATGATTCACAGATAATGACAGGGTGTTTGGAAATGACAAGAGCCTTGCACAAAAGCCACTGTAAAGTTAAAATAGAGTATAGTCTTTCACATCATGATATATCGTCTTGCACTTCACGTCTAGGGCGTCTTGCAACTGTGTCGGGCTTCATCAGGAAATACATAGCTGACGTTGTCCCCACAGTGAAGTTTCACTGTTCCCCAATCCAGCTACGACCTCCGCAGGACCATCAGACAGGCAAAAGCATAATATAGGAACAAGGTGGAATCCTATTACACTGGCTCCGATGCTCAACGCATGACGCAGGGGAAACAGTCCATTACGAATTACAAAAAGGAACACAAAGTCTGCATATTGCACCTATAATTATAATGTCAATACTAGCTACAGTGGTCAGCTAGCTTGGAGGAAGTATTTAGTGTTGTGTGCATTATGGCTGTGCACTTAGCTAGTTACCATCCCAATTGCCTACATTGCATACAGTTGAAGTCGGAAGTTTACATACACTTAGGTTGGAGTCATTAAAACTAGTTTTTCAACCACTCCACAAATGTATTGTTAACAAACTATAGTTTTGGCAAGTCGGTTAGGACATCTACTTTGTGTATGACACAAGTCATTTTTCCAACAATTGTTTACAGACAGATTATTTCACTTATAATTCACTGTATCACAATTCCAGTGGGTCAGAAGTTTACATGCACTAAGTTGACTGTGCCTTTAAACAGCTTGGCAAATTCCAGAAAATGATGTCATGACTTTAGAAGCTTCTGATAGGCTAATTGACATAATTTGAGTCAATTGGAGGTGTACCTGTGGATGTATTTCAAGACCTACCTTCAAACTCAGTGCCTCTTTGCTTGACATCATGGGAAAATCAAAAGAAATCAGCCAAGACCTCAGAAAAAATTGTAGACCACAAGTCTGGTTCATTCTTGGGAGCAATTTCCAAACGCCTGAAGGTACCACGTTCATCTGTACAAACAATAGTACGCAAGTATAAACACCATGGGACCACGCAGCCTTCATACCGCTCAGGAAGGAGACGCGTTCTGTCTCCTAGAGATGAACGTAGTTTGGTGCGAATCAGTGCAAATCAATCGATGAACAACAGCAAAGGACCTTGTGAAGATGCTGGAGGAAACAGGTACAAAAGTCTCTATATACACAGTAAAACGAGTCCTATATCGACATAACCTGAAAGGCCGCTCAGCAAAGAAGAAGCCACTGCTCCAAAACCACCATAAAAAAGCCAGACTACGGTTTGTAACTGTACATGGGGACAAAGATCGTACTTTTTTGAGAAATGTCCTCTGGTCTGATGAAACAAAAATAGAACTGTTTGGCCATAATGACCATCGTTATGTTTGGAGGAAAAAGGGGGTACTTGCAAGCCAAAGAACACCATCCCAACCGTGAAGCACGGGGGTGGCAGCATCATGCTGTGGGGGTGCTTTGCTGCAGGAGGGACTGGTGCACTTCACAAAATAGATGGCATATGAGGAAGGAAAATTATGTGGATATATTGAAGCAACATCTCAAGACATCAGTCAGGAAGTTAAAGCTTGGTCGCAAATGGGTCTTCCAAATGGACAATGACCCCAAGCATACTTCCAAAGTTGTGGCAAAATGGCTTAAGGACAACAAAGTCAAGGTATTGGAGTGGCCATAACAAAGCCCTGACCTCAATCCTATAGAACATTTGTGGGCAGAACTGAAAAAGCATGTGCGAGCAAGGAGGCCTACAAACCTGACTCAGTTACACCAGCTCTGTCAGGAGGAATGGGCCAGAATTCACCCAACTTATTGTGGGAAGCTTGTGGAAGGCTACCTGAAACGTTTGATCCAAGTTAAACAATTTAAAGGCAATGCTACCAAATACTAATTGAGTGTATGTAAACTTCTGACCCACTGGGAATGCGATGAAAGAAATAAAAGCTTAAATAAATCATTCTCTCTACTATTATTCTGACATTTCACATTCTCAAAATAAAGTGGTGATCCTAACTGACCTAAGATAGGGACTTTTTACTGTGATTTAATGTCAGGAATTGTGAAAAACTGAGTTTAAATGTATTTGGCTAAGGTGTATGTAAACTTCCGTCTTCAACTGTATGAAGTGTGACTGGCTCATGACATTTAAACGTGGATGTACGGAGAAAATGCCCTCTTTTTTCCTTTTTGTTGTCACTCCTGTTGGCTCCCACATGAACATGCTCTCTGATTGGCTCCAAGTTATTGGCCACTGACGAGCATTGCGATTCTACAAGTAGAAACGGTAGGTTTGTCGCTACCGGGTTGGCAAGCAGCAGATACCGCTTTTGTTCTAGCAAGAGAAGGAACGGCATCCCACTGTGATAAGCACCGATCTGAAGTCTATCGTCAGTGAGATTCTCTGTGTGTTTCATGCTTTAGGCTACCTGATTCAATGACTACTGCCCTGTAGCACTAACATCTGCAATCATGAAGTGATTTGAAAGGCTGGTCATGGTACACATCACCTCCATCATCCCAGACCCACTCCAATTTGCATACCGCCCGAACAGATATACAGGCGATGCCATCTCAATTGCACTCCACACTGCCTTCTCCCACCTGGACAAAAGGAATACCTATGTGATAATTCTGTTCATCAACTACAGCTCAGCATTCAACACCATAGTGCCCTCCAAGCTCATCACCAACCCTGGGAATGAACACCTCCCTCTACAACTGGATCCTGGCCTTACTGACGGGCTGACCCCAGGTGGTGAGTGTAGGCAACAACACCTCTGCCACATTGATCCTCAATACGGGGGACCCCCAGGGATGTGTGCTCATCCCCCTCCCTGTTTACCCACGACTGTGTGGCCACGCATGACTCCATCATCAAGTTTGCTGACGAAACGACAGTGGAAGGCCTGATCACCAACGGCGATGAGACAGCCTGCAGGTCAGAGAAGTGGCAGTGTGGTGCCAGGACAACAACCTCTCCCTCAGCAAGACCAAGGAGCTGATGGTGGATTACAGGAAATAGGGGGGGGGGGGGGGGGTGAACACCCCCATCCACATCAACGGGCCACCATAGAGAGGGTCAAGTTCCTCGGTGTCCACATCACTGAGGACTTAACATGGTCCTCTCACACCAGAACTGTTGTGAAGAAGGCACGGCAACGCCTCTTCTCCCTCAGGAGGCTGAAATGATTTGGCATGGCACCTCAGATCCTCAGGAACTTTTACAGCTGCATCACTGGTACGGCAACTGCACCGCTCGCGACCGGACGGCCCTACAGAGGGTGGTGAGGACGGCCCAGTGCATCACTGGGGGTGAGCTCCCAGCCATCCAGGACATACAGTTGAAGTTGGAAGTTTACACCTTAGCCAGATACATTTAAACTCTTTTTTTTCACAATTCCTGACATTTAATCCTAGTAAAAACAAAAGCGGTATCTGCTGCTTGCCAACCCGGTAGCGACAAACCTACCGTTTCTACTTGTAGAATCGCAATGCACGTCAGTGGCCAATAACTTGGAGCCAATCAGAGAGCATGTTCATGTGGGAGCCAACAGGAGTGACAACAAAAAGGAAAAAAGAGGGCATTTTCTCTGTACATCCACGTTTAAATGTCATGAGCCAGTCACGCTTCATACAGTTGAAGACGGAAGTTTACATACACCTTAGCCAAATACATTTAAACTCAGTTTTTCACAATTCCTGACATTAAATCACAGTAAAAAGTCCCTGTCTTAGGTCAGTTAGGATCACCACTTTATTTTAAGAATGTGAAATGTCAGAATAATAGTAGAGAGAATGATTTATTTCAGCTTTTATTTCTTTCATCACATTCCCAGTGGGTCAGAAGTTTACATACACTCAATTTTTTGGTAGCGTTGCCTTTAAATTGTTTAACTTGGGTCAAACATTTCAGGTAGCCTTCCACAAACTTCTCACAATAAGTTGGGTGAATTTTGGCCCATTCCTCCTGACAGAGCTGGTGTAACTGAGTCAGGTTTGTAGGCCTCCTTGCTCGCACACGCTTTTTCAGTTCTGCCCACACATTTTCTATAGGACTGAGGTCAGAGCTTTGTGATGGCCACTCCAATACCTTGACTTTGTTGTCCTTAAGCCATTTTGCCACAACTTTGGAAGTATGCTTGGGGTCATTGTCCATTTGGAAGACCATTTGCGACCAAGCTTTAACTTCCTGACTGATGTCTTGAGATGTTGCTTCAATATATCCACATAATTTTCCTTCCTCATGATGCCATCTATTTTGTGAAGTGCACCAGTCCCTCCTGCAGCAAAGCACCCCCACAGCATGATGCTGCCATCCCCGTGCTTCACGGTTGGGATGGTGTTCTTCGGCTTGCAAGCTTCCCCCTTTTTCCTCCAAACATAACGATGGTCATTATAGCCAAACAGTTATATATTTGTTTCATCAGACCAGAGGACATTTCTCCAAAAAGTACGATCTTTGTCCCCATGTGCAGTTGCAAACCATAGTCTGGCCATAGTTTATGGCGGTTTTGGAGCAGTGGCTTCTTCCTTGCTGAGCGGCTTTTCAGGTTATGGCGATATAGGACTCGTTTTACTGTGGATATAGATACTTTTGTACCCGTTTCCTCCAGCATCTTCACAAGGTCCTTTGCTGTTGTTCTGGGATTGATTTGCACTTTTCACACCAAACTACGTTCATCTCTAAGAGACAGAATGTGTCTCCTTCCTGAGCGGTATGACGGCTGCGTGGTCCCATGGTGTTTATACTTGCGTACTATTGTTTGTACAGATGAACGTGGTACCTTCAGGCGTTTGGAAATTGCTCCCAAGGACGAACCAGACTTGTGGAGGTCTACAATTTTTTTCTGAGGTCTTGGCTGATTTCTTTTGATTTTCCCATAATGTCAAGCAAAGAGGCACTGAGTTTGAAGGTAGGTCTTGAAATACATCCACAGGTACACCTCCAATTGACTCAAATGATGTCAATTAGCCTATCAGAAGCTTCTAAAGTCATGACATCATATTCTGGAATTTTCCAAGCTGTTTAAAGGCACAGTCAACTTAGTGTATGTAAACTTCTGACCCACTGGAATTGTGATACAGTGAATTATAAGTGAAATAATCTGTCTGGTAAACAATTGTTGGAAAAATTACTTTTGTCATGCACAAAGTAGATGTCCTAACCGACTTGCCAAAACTATAGTTTGTTAACAAGAAATTTGTGGAGTGCTTGAAAAACGAGTTTTAATGACTCCAACCTAAGTGTATGTAAACTTCCGACTTCAACTGTGTATGTATGTATGTATGTATGTATGTATGTATGTATGTATGTATGTATGTATGTATGTATGTATGCATGTATGCATGTATGTATGTATGTATGTATGTATGTATGTATGTATGTATATATATATATATATATATAGGGTAAGGTGACTAGGCATCAGGATATATGATAAACAGAGTAGCAGCAGTGTATACGATGATTGTATGTGAGTGTGTGTGCGTGTAGAGTCAGTATAAATGTGTGTGCGTGTTGTGTGTGCGTAAGCAAATGAAGTGAGTAAGTGAGTGAATGAGTGTTGGAGTGTCAGTGTGCGTGAGTGTGTAGAGTCCTTTGAGTGTGCATAAATAAAATACAAGGGTCAACTCAGATAGTCCGTATAGCCATTTTGTTAGCTATTTAGCAGTCTTATGGCTTGGGGATAGAAATGGTTCTATTTTCTATTATTATCTATATTATTATTACTGCACTGTTGGAAAGAGCTCTCAAGGTAAGAATTTCACTGTACTGTTTTACAATGTCAAATATCACGACATTCAATTTAATCATATATCGGCCCAACCCTAACGAATGCCATGCCCTTTCTTACCACAGTTGTACTCAGGGTTCATGGATTCGCTGTTCTTGAGGAAGGAGTATGTGAGGAAGGCCTTGTGGTAGGTGTTCATATCCTGACTGGCCAGGTAAGGCTCAGGGCAGCTGGACAGGTAGGAGCCAAAGGTCGCCAGGGAGATAAACTTCATCAACTCAACGTTAGGGATGTACCCAAAACTACAATTGTAGGAGTAGGCCCCGCCCACCTAACAGACAGACACAGAGAATAGCAACGATATATGAAACCAATCACAACCATAGACTCTCCACAATATGTCAATTACAGTGTGGATCATAAGTATTCACCCCACTTGGATTTTGTGTTGCGTTTCAAAGTGGGATTGAAATGCATTTAATTTGACATTTTTGTCATTGATCTACACAAGATACTCCATAATGTCAAAGTGAAAAGAAAATTCTACAAATGTTTACAAATTTATAAAAATGTAATAACTAAAATATAGTCGTTGCATAAGTATTCACCCCCCTTTGTTGACGCAAGCCTAAATAAGTTCAGGAGTAAAATTTGGTTTAACCCTTTACACTCGTGGGAATTGGCCTATATGGATAGGGAAAAATTAAAATATTACTTACAGAATAAATATGAAAAGCATAACCATGATAGCTATTGAAAGGCAACAGTTTGGAGATAATAGAAAAAGTATTAGACCAAAGCTGAGGACACAACAGTTCACCTGACACAAGACTGAATCCAAACATTACACTGTTGATTTTGTGTTACATTTACTGTACTTTTCACCCCATTTGTTGATAACGAAATCTGAAAATATTCCTGAAAAATTGGGGTAGTTGCAACATAAGACAGAAAAATGACAAGGGTTTGAGTGAAAGGACTAACTGGTGTTTCCAAGTGGCCACACACCTCTATAAAGTGTGCACAGCTCCTAAGTAATTTCAATGCACTTTCACTCAAAAGAAGTGTCTTCAACTATAAGGTGCTTTTTTGAGCTCTCCTAGCTATCCCGTTGAGGAACTAGAGCAAGCACACTTGTAGTTGTTTTGTATGGAACACAACCCTGCATCCCCGCCATCACACAATTACAGTTGTTTACGCAATCCCAAAACTGCAATCTGGTTCAGGTGGGCATCATTTGAAAGCTAGTTCTGTTGCCAACATGACTAGCTAAGTTATAAAATACGATCTTACCGTGTTAGACTTTCACAAGGCAATTCAGTGAAACCGATTGTAATTTTGGTGCGCATAGAAAGGAGTCATGCGTGCATTCAGGTGCGTGTTCTGTGGCAAATGTTCTTTACAATAGACAAACATAGGCTCATTCTGTTAAGAACAGCCCAGGGTATGATGCCATGTCTCAAATGATGCCATGAAATGACTCAAATGTAAATGTCATATTGTAACTGTACATCAAACATAGTGATCATAAACGTTGACACTGTATATGACATGATTTTTATGATATGCGGTATTTATCATAATACTCAACGTCTCATCTTTGAAAATACATAGAGTCCTCTTAATTTACAGCACTTCCCTCACTGAGACAACAAAAAAATGAGCAAAAGTTGCTGAATTAGCTGGAGGGATGGGGGCAACTTCTTGTTGTGTGCAGTGCTCAAGTTCAGAACGGCTATCAGTTAAAACCCATACAGCGCTGTGAAGAACAGAGCGTGAGCTCTGGCGTAATTTATAGCATGTTTCTGTACAGCCACTGCGTTCCAATTTAGGTGCTCATCAGTGCACAAATCTGTCATTTTCAACCCGTATACTGGTACGAGTTAGTATTGCTTACACCAGCCTCTCTACATCCCTGCTGTGTAGTCACGTGGGTCGCGCATCAGCCAAGCTAGGTACGAGTGTTAAGGGCTACCAAATCACATAAGTCCAACACAACACATCACTGAGTAACTGCCTGCATATTTTCAAGCGTGGTGGTGGCTGCATCATTGGGGAGTTTTTCAGGATCAAAAGAAACGGGATGGAGCTAAGCACAGGCAAAATCCTAGAGGAAAACCTGGTTCAGTCTACTTTCCACCAGACACTGGGAGACAAATTCACCTTTCAGCAGGACAACAACCTACAACACAAGGCCAAATCTACACTGGAGTTGCTTCCAAGAAAACAGCTAATGTTCCTGAGTGGCCAAGTTACCATTTTGACTTAAATCTGCTTCAAATCTATGGCAAGACTTGAAAATTGCTGTGTAGCCATGACCCCCAACGCCTTGACAGAGCTTGAATAATTATTTTTAGAATAATGGCCAAATATTGCACAATCCAGGTGTGCAAAGCTCTTAGAGACTAACCCAAGAAGACTCACAGCTGTAATCGCTGCCAAATGTCTTTCTGACATGTATTGACTGAGGGGGTGAATACTTATCTAATCAAGGTATATTTGTGTTTTATTTTCGATTAGTTTTTAAGAAGTGTTAGAAAAGAAAAAACACTTTGTGTAGCCAAAAAATGTCAATTAAATCCATTTTAATCCCACTTTGTAACACAATAAAATGTGAAGAAATCCAAGGGGGGTGAATACTTACGATACCCACTGTACATAAAAATATTTTCAGAACTAACTTTCATTACAAAAATACTGTTATTGAATGACAGATATCAGACCATATTTAGTAGATGGACTTTTCTAAAGGGCAGTTGCCTGCTAGCCTGGAATCCAAACTGAATCCATGCTGCGTTTCACTTTGTTTCACTTAGTTAAACAGAGCATGGATTCCGTTTGGATTCCAGGCTAGTTGCCTGCCTCTGTTGAGAAGATACAACAATCTATGCAGTAGATGACAGACAGCAGTTCTCATGGTGTGTCAGCATGTTGTAATGTAGACTGAATACAAATAGCAGTTTGACCCACTGGGCTATGTTGTGGCATGTTTCAGTACCTGGACGAAGGAGCAGGCGATGGTTCCACTCCTGAGCTGGTTCAGAAGAGTCTCACACACAGCCACATCAGGCACACTGGTCACCCCATCTGTGATGATGATTATACCTGGGAGAGGTGACAGGAATAGTGTCATAAGTCTAAAAGAATCAATCATATATAAATTAATCAGATCATGCATCTCCCTTCGAATGGTGCCTTTAGACAATTACTCCGATAGTGCCCTTTCAGACCTGGCTATGGGTTGCAACAAAGGAGGACCTTATCATAAGTCTGACTCAAACAAGTATAATTTCTCCCTATGGAACCAGCCTTGAGAAGCTCAACTTTAAAAGCAAAGGTATTGACAGACTTAACCAACCTGCGGAGGAGTTGGGGGGCAGCAGCTGAAGAGCTAGGATGCCCTGTCGCACCATGCTGACCAGCCCTACGTCTGCAGTCACCATGGAAACGCCATGTTTCCTCACAGGCACCTCCTCCATGGTGATGTCACTACCAAGCCCGGGGCACGGGATTGGCCCATCAGACTATCAGAGACAAATTTAATAATAATCAACCTGGAAATTATATCAAACATTTTCATAGTCATACTCAACTCCAGAGCCATATACTGTACAGTCAGTTACAAAATTATTGGCACCCAAGATAAAGATTAGCAAAAAAGAATGTATAAAATAAATAATACAAATACTGAGCTATATTTTTGCTCCAAAAAATTGGGAAATTATATTATTTTGAACTAATACAATTCCTCAGAGAAATATATTTTGTTTAACAAGTAATAATAAAAATATCTAAAAAAGATAAGGTAAAAGTTATTGGACCCGTTTTCAATACTCCGCAAAACACCCCTTGTGAGGATAACGACACTGAGCCTTTTTCTAAAATGTTTTATGAGATTGGAGACCACATTGGGAGGGACCTTAGATCATTCCTCCATACAGAATCTTTCCAGATCCTGTATATATTCTTCATCTGTGCTTAAGGACTGCCCTCTTCAATTCAAACCACAAGTTTTCAATGGGGTTCTAGTCCGGAGAATGAGATGGCCATTGCAAAATGTTGATTTAGTGGTCAATTAAACAATTTCTTTGTGAATTTTGATATGTGCTATGTTTTATTGTCTTGCTGGAAGATCCATTTGCGGCCAAGTTTCAGCCTCCTGGCAGAAGGCAACAGGGTTTTTAGTTAAAATGTCCTGGTACTTGGTAAAATTCATGATGCAGTTGACCTTAACAAGAGCCCCAGGACCAGTGGAAGCAACAACAAAAAAAAGCCCCATAACATCAAAGACCCACCACCATATTTTACAGTAGGTGTGAGGTTATTTTCTGCATATGATATCCTTCTTTTGACACCAAACCCACCACTGGTGTGCGTGACCAAAGAGCTCTATTTTGAAGTCATCTGACCTTAGCACCAATTCCAATCCACGTGCAAATGCCGTTTAGCAAACTCCAGGCATTTACATTTCTTGGTTGCTCTCAATTAAAGGCTTTTTTTCTGGCAACCCTTTCAAATAGCCTATTGGCATGGATGTGGTGTCTAATGCTAGATTTGGACACTTGGTGAACCAAAGATGCGACCAAGTTCTGTAATTCTCCAAAGGCCCTTGGACTTTTCTGTGCCTCCTGAACCATATTCCTCAGTGTCCGTGGGGACAAGATACACATGCATCCAATACAAGGCAAGTTTACCACTGTTCCACTGTGTTTAAACTTTTTAATTGTTGCCCTAATAGTGGTAAGTGGTATATTTGTTTAGCAATTTTTTTGTACCCATTGCATGATTTATTAAGGTCAACAACCATTTGTCTCTTTTCGATTGTGAGTTCTTTGCCTTTTCCCATGGTGATGATGATCAAAGTGATTTTACATGCGTTACCTCATTTTATACCCCAGTGAAACAGGAAGCCATGGAAGGCCACAATACAGTTCCTTAAAATGCGTACAATATAGCTCTGTAATTGTATTATTTATTTTATAGACTATTTTTTGCTCATCTTTATCAAGGGTGCCAATCATTTTGGAACTGACTGTATTATACATATGTAAATATATGGTTCTGTTCTAGAGTAAAAAGATTGACGGATGACCTAAAGGTTGTCACTGGTTCAAGTGATGGTCACTGGTTCATAGCTTCCATTGTAATTGACTCTCTGAATATAGTACTGTAATAACCATGTGTCCTCTTGCCTGGTCGTGCTGCTGTTGAAGATGGTTGTGCTGCTGTTGTAGGACCTCTGCAGTGTTGTTCTCCACTGATCGCAGCTGCTGGTAGATCTGGTGTAGGAACTGATCCAGGGCTGTACGATCCAGCTGACAACCCTGCACCAACACCTACAGTCAAAGCAGACACAACACAGTTTCCTTATAGGTGTGATGGAGTGGAACGTGCTTCTAGTTTTCAGTAGCGATGCACTTAACCGTCAGCTACATAGGCTCACATGACTAGAATGTATTACTATAGTTCCTGTTCCCATTAAAATATGTCTCCGTCTCAATCATGGGTAGCACATCTACCTGCACCAACAAAATAATGATTTAATGTCTCTTGTTCAATCACCAAGAAGTATATAATTTTGATATGAATATTATGATCACCTGGTGTGTATTGAGCCCAATAATGGAGGAATAAGCCAGGATAGTGACGAAGATTTCCGGCTGGAATACATGATCTGTGCCTGGAACATTGAAGGGTCGGACCAGTCCAGCTAAGCATCGTGACAAGGCATGGAATACCTCATCAAATATCATCTCCCCCGTGCTGTCATCCTGTGAACAGAGGGAAAAACTAACATGATGTACCTAACACATCAAACAACACATCATGAGGAGGATCTGCTCTTGGCAGTATACCAAAATAGCCATAGCATGAAAGTGTGATATGTAACACGATTGTCATAAAGGATTGTAAACTTCCTCCTGCCGTCAAAAAGAAAAGCATCCCTTCATAGATGCTTGTAAAATAGTCATAAGGCCACATTCTGTCTGATCAACAGGGTTCAAATCCGGGTCTCCTGCATGCCATTGATTATAACTGCTTGCTTGTTTTCTAATGGAGCTAAGGAAGGTCTTCAGTTCTCAGTGGTTCAGAGAACCACCTCCATTATAGGTTCAAACATTTTCCAAAACGTAATTCGTAGGAAAACTGCATTCTAAACAGTGCACCTGATGAGAGCGATTAAATATGTGACAGAGATGACAATCTCCATTAGAAACTTAGAAAGAGGGGCAATCTAAAGTAGCAACCCATCCTAGTTGTTGCAAATGACTAGGATTGTGCCTTTGGCTTCTGGACAATGAAAGGAAGTTGATATGAAAACCAATAGAACAGGAGAGAAATGGAATATGAGGAAGTCTTTCATAGGTGGCGTGTCAAATAGTCTAGGGAAGTAAATAAAAATACATTTGCCAAAATTATATAATTACTCCTGTCCATACAGAAATGAATAAAATACTTCAAAATACTTAGCCACAGAGGAATCGAGGATCATTAGCTTATATTTTTGTATAGCTGTGGATTGTTTCAAATCACAAGCTTTTAGGCCTATGCCTATTTGAGAAGCCCGCAAGTTGAGACAAGAAGAAGGGGAGGGGTGTGTGGCAAAGATATAGGCTAGTCTCTCTCCAGAATGGCTCATCTGTCTCCCGCCAATTCTTAGCATTCATTGTTTCACTTTGTGAATTGTTTGCCCATTGATTGTTTATTTTTATCAATTCCCCATTACATATGTCACCAGCAGTAAACATATGTAATTGGGAATTGATAAATAGAGTAGCTCAAGACCTATAGAAAGGGAGGCAGACAGGCTGAGTAGAGAAGAATGGAATTTAAAGAACCTGAATTTATCTTATTTTCTACAGTTTTTATTTGTCAGCTTTATGTATTTTGACTTAGTTGACAATTAAGTTATATGCCTACTGCTGCATTGGCCTATAGGCTATGAGTTCCATGCACTCATTTCTTTAGCCGCCAATGGATCACGGTGTGTCAATGTGTCCATATGGCAGAGGCTGGTGCTCTCGCATTAGTTGAATCTTAATTTCTAGATGTATACAATTTTAATTCAGATTTTTATGATTAACCACGTGACAATGATTTTGAGAAACGAAAACGTTATTGTTGAAATGAAACTGTTCCACGGAAATGCACATATGTAAATCATAACTGGCACGCAGAATGGTAGAAATAGTAGGATAAAATGTAAGCTTCCCTAAACTTGAAACTCATGCGCCTATGAAGTCTTTACAAAATAATTGCCTCCACGTTTCCATAGTTGGATTTGTCTATAGGCTACTTTGAAGCAAGGTAAGACATGCCTCATAATATGAAGTAAAACATTCAGGTTTCAAACAATTAAGTAGGCCTTTGTTTAAAAAAATGCATTCTGCCTCCAGCTCATATTGTAAAGTGGTGGTGATTCCCGCTCAAAGTAGGCTCTATATGCTGTGTGTTTGTGATAGTTGTGTTGGATAAATAAGATAGGCTACATGATGACTAACGAAAATACACACACGCCAATTTAATTCCACTATATTATGCAAATTAACCTATAGACCGATAAGCGTGACGGTGAAATGTATTTCCATCGACTGGTATTTCCATCTATGAATAAAAATTATTATTTTGCAATGGGATTGTTTTTCTCCTGGTCATTTTGGCAGGCAACAGTTTTATTTATCTGATTTTCTTCTTTTTTGGGGGGGGGGGGGGGGGCAAAAGCCAGATAATGGAAACCCTGCTCCTTTAGCTCCATTAGGTATCTGTTTTAACCCAAGTAGCTTTGATTGTGTTTAGTAGCCTAGTTTGTAACTTGTTGAAGAAGCCTCTTTACTCACCACGATCCCAGTGGAGGGGCTGAGGTCCAGCTCGATGATGAAGCGGTACCTGCGGGCCAGGAAGGTGACCCGAGTGGAGGGTACCAGCAGGTAGGGCATGGTGGAGGGGGAGAAGTCTGGCTGCCATCCCTTCGGCAAGATGCTGAGCAGGTCCAGCTCATTCTCAGAGTTCAGCTGCACAGAAGGTGGAACCACAACAATCATCATAAACAACAATCCCACGGAAATATGGTCATTTAGCAGATGCTTAGTTTCATCCAAAGCAAAATTATATACATCAATTCAGTATATGTGGCCCATGCGGGAACATCAGTACATAATAATAATAATAATAATAATAATAATAATAGTGATTGAACCATCTCCTCTGGGCTGGTCCCAGATCTGTTTATGCTGTTTTGCCAACCCCTATGGTCGTTGTCATTGACGAGACAGCACAACAGATCTAGGAGCAGGCTGCATCTCCTCCAGTAGAGCTAATTAACCCACCAGTTCAGACTTTGGGGCTGGCCAAATGACCTGGTTGAGCTTGCCCAGGAACCAGGCCAGACGTACGTTCCGTGAGATACGGTACTCCTCTTTCATCAGCAGGTACACCTGGTCTGCCTCCTCCACCTGAAGAAAGAGAATATTCAAACATATAGTATTCTCCTGAAAAAATGACAGCGCCTGATCACCCATGCATGTTTCTGCAAATATCTTGGTGAACTTTGACATCTTGATGAACTTTGTTAATGGGTACAGAGGTTGCAGACTGCATCTGCAAGGGAAGGACTATCCTGACACTGTACCTTTTGTTCAATATTGTCTTAGCAAGAAGAGACACGTTATTTATGTCAGTAAGCGAGGCTTAACCACAATACATTGACAACATTAAACATTTTGCATATTCTGGGTGTAAAGTTTTCCAGCCAGTATCATATGCCATTATGCTGGGTGACATCATTGCAAAGCTTAATGAGCAGCAATCTGATCCCAAATTGACTAATGTCATGCACGGCACGACTCATGAGTCATGCACGACTCATGGGCGGCGCACAATTGGCCCAGCGTTGTCCAGGGTAGGGGAGGGAATGGCCGGCAGGGATGTAGCTCAGTTGATAGAGCATGGCGTTTGTAACGCCAGGATTGTGGGTTCGATTCCCACGGGGGGGCCAGTATAAAAAAAGAAAATGTATTCACTAACTGTAAGTCGCTCTGGATAAGAGCGTCTGCTAAATGACTAAAATGTAAATGTAAAATGACACTGGCAAAACAACCTGGCTATAGCTAAATATGGCCTCCCAAACTACTGTAATTGTCCCTGTATTTTACAGCATATGTAACGTTACAGTATCAGTTGGTATGCTCAGTTCAAGCGCGAGCGCTTTGCAACGCCACAACTCAAGTTACACTGCTAGCTGTTTTACTTGGAGAAGATAGCTATAGCTAGCATAAACAAGCTATAGCTAGCGCTAGTGACAGGTCAAGGCTACAAAAACATGAACCTCAGTAAATTACCTCATTGTCCTGTCTCTCTGCCATGCCTTGTATGGCATAACTAGCAGGTTCTGTGAAAGCTCCGAGGGTATTTTCAGGCCCTGGCTGACATATAACGACTTGTTTAGTTCGTTTTCATGCACGATTGCTGGCTATCGTTGTATTTTGTTTATTTGGTTAAGATGCACGTGACCTGGATGCTTGAGTCCTCGTCTTTGCACCGGAACAACACAACAAGGCTTAGAGGGTTTTGTAGTTCTATTTTATTTTGATTCCGATATGACCAGCTTTCTGAAAATAATGTGTGCAGATAAGCGATATAACATATATTATTGAATATTTCACGGCATGATGACTCAAATATACGATTATGTGGCTGACTACAGTAAAATGTTGAACATACAGCAAAATTATTCTCACTGGAGCATGCGAGCTGTTGCGCTCATTGTTTACTTCCGGTTAAGATTTATTTATTTAGCTAGCTAGCAAGTTCCCATAAAGAGAGGCGGAATAAAAATGCAGGTAAGGTGCATGTTCTACAAACGTAAAATGTCCTAAGCAGTCAGTTGTTTGAAATTACATCCAGTGAATAAAATACAAAATCACCATCGCAGGTTAAATATTTCGTTTGATTCAGTTTACGTTACCCCAAGTCACTCTGCTACTGTAGGTAACTAGCTAAAAGGCTAACAGCTAACGTTAGGTAGCTAATCAAATGTCTCTTTATTTGTTTAAATCAAGCAACGGGAAGAAAAGCTGTTGGAAGCATCCGTGGAATCACTTATTTCCCGCGTGGCTCATCTCAAAAACGCTCTTCAAAGTTTCATCTACAAGTTGGAAAACGAGTATGAAAGACTGACATGGTAAGTGACGAGCTAACTTTAGTTAGCATTGCGCATGCAACACTTTGAAATGATGAGCTGTTTGGTAACTCTCGAGAACCCAAGCCCGTACAGCCATTGGGTTCTCGTTCAAACAAATGACCACAGCGTGGCCGTGTATAATGTTGAGTTTGGAGAAAGCTAACTAGCTAGGTCCCAGTGTTGCTTTTGGAATTACATCAATTAAACCAATCTGTAAGACTTGGCTAGCTAACGACTTATTTGGATAAATACACATTATTCATTTTCAGACATACTCTACTAGCTAATTCATGAAGTTGTTGTCTCTGTTATTGAACAACTTGGACAACAGGCCCTCTGTGTTGGACAACTTTGCCCTCCTGTCCGGTCAGTTGAATACCATCAATAAACTGTTGAGGAATGAGAAGACACCATCTTTCCGTCAGCAGGTCATCATCCCCCTTCTGCTGTCTCCAGACAGGGATGAGGAACTAGCTGTGAGTATATTTTCTGTGGACAAGGATTACCCTGGTTAAACCAGACTGAATGCTGTGCTCACCAATAATGAGAATAGCGTTGAGTCTGGTTTAGCCAGGCTAGAAGAGGATGGCTTTACAGACACACATACCGGTACCCTAGTCTTTGCTTACATCCATACACTCTGTGCCCACACTCCAGAAACTGACAGAGCAGCGTGTGCCTGTGTTCAGCCATGAGATTGTGCCAGATCACCTGCGCACGAAGCCTGATCCTGAGGTGGAGGAGCAGGAGAAACAGCTGAGTGCAGAAGCTGCCCGGATAGGACCAGAGGTGGCACAGGTAAACAGACATGGTCTTTATCTAATCATACAAGTTCTTTATGGCAGCAGTCTGAGAGGAGAGTAGGGCCCTGGTTCACATAAGGCAACCTGTATCCTTTTCATACTACTGAGTGAAGTTGTACATCCACCATTTGTTGGAAAGGACAATACGACAAGAAAATATTGTGGCCACTTCAAGCCAGTATGACGGACGTCAATATGCTTGCTTAGTAGCTTCACTTCCTCCCTGCCTCGGTACAGTGGCCGTACAACAGCTCATACCAGAGTAATCTGCCCGCTTGACCATACCTTTAGCCAGTTGTGCCACTGAAAAGGTACAAATTTGGCAAGTGGATACATTTCAAGCTGTGGAGTGAGCTTAAAGTACAATACATTTGTTACATAATGAACATGACCATGGTGTATGGTGGGAAGACACAATTCTAAGTAAAATGGTTCTTGTCATGTAATGCACATTGTAGTCTTTTTATCCCACAACTATATTTGGAAGCATCCTTTGTTTTCCCCCCAACAGAAACAAATCCAGACACTGAATAAGCTATGTTCAAATCTACTGGAGAAACTGAACAATCCTCGCGATGACAGGGATGCAGAAAGTGCAGGTACAATGACTGAACCAAGATAACTTATTTACCTGAACATTTAGGCAAGCTAACCTAAGAACTGTGTTATGAAGTTGATATTGATGCTTATGTACTCAAAATGTACAGACGGTCTAACCTAAGGTCTATGTTATGGAGTTGATACAATTGCACTCTACTCTCTGTTTCAGCTATACGGCAGAACAAACCATCATTCAACATTGCTGACACCAATGCACTGGTGGCAGCGGTGGGCTTTGGGAAGGGGCTTTCGAAGTGCAGGCCCCCCGGGCCCGTTGCCCCTGGACACCCAGGACAAGGACCCATGATGAGTGGAGGTCCCACCTTACAGCAGGTTACCATCGGTGGGGGTTCAGGCCAGCAGCAAGGCATGGGGCCTGGTGCTCCTCAGCAACAGGGACAGCCAGGTATGATGCTCCTGAATATCATTGTCTGGCTTTGCTACACTTTGAAGTCTTGTATTCACTTGAAGGCCGTAAATCAAGGTTCTACAGACTTGAATAATAAAGGCAGTGGGTTTCTCAGACACAGATTATACCTAGTCCTGGACTAAAAATAACTGTAAATAGAGAACTTGGCTTAACCTGTGTCTGAGGACCCGGCCCTAAAGGTATTGATCAAAAGACTGCGCTATAACTGACCTATTTATTTTTTCAGGCAAAATGCCAAGCAACATCAAGACAAACATCAAGGCTGCCTCCTCAATGCATCCTTACAACCGATAAGATTCTCTCTCTATCCCATACTGATGAAGTATTCAGGAGGCTGAGAGAGTAAGTGACGTAAAGCAATGGAAATATTAATATCTTTTATCTTTTGATTAAATAAATCAGTTTGAGAAGAAGGCATCATACTGTGTCAGTGAATGTGCAGAATGTAGTGAAATGAATATATGTGCTTCAATTTGTAAACACTAGATGGCACAGTCTTTCCATTTTATATTCGAGGGACAAGACATTTTGAGAACTTGGTATTTGTTGCAGAAAATCTAAATGAGATTTTATATTAATAGTGAATAAAGGGAATATTAGAGCTTTATTTCAATTGTACCTTTATCCAGATACCCCACGATATGTTAATATTTCACACAATGAAAATCTGTTATCACAGGCATTATGTTGAGCTATGTCTTTCAGAAATATATAACACAAGTGTGGAGTTTAGGGTCAGTCAGAGAACAGGCATTATATTTCAAACCTTATATTTCAACTGCTTCACCATGTTGTCTGTCCAGTCTTTTGAACCCTAGCACTGCTTCCTTCCCTCCCTACACTTTGCCTCCATTGTGGCCATTATAAATATTGTAGGACCGGTGAGAGTAATGCAGCTGGACATTGCACTGCCTGGCCTGATAACGTCAAAGTCGTTAAGGGAGGAGATGAGAAAGTTGATGCTGACGTGTGGGGGGCCTCTGTGCTTTGCGCCCCACCGTGGTCTGTCCACTCTAATCCCTATCCCACCTCCCGCTGGGCGGACGGCACAGGGACAATGACCACTGTGGCTGTCACCAGATACGACACAGGTCGCTGGGTGACCTACATACAAACACTCACTGACACACACCCTCGGTCCTGCACACACACACTGTCCTACACACACATACACCTTCTGTCCTCTGCCGGGCCGACGTCTCGCTGTGTCAGCCTCCATGCCCTGGTAGGAGAGGAGGGTCTGCTGAGACAGCTAGAAGATGCACAGGTTCATACTCTCTATAGACTCCATAGGCAGATGGACAGTCTACTGGCTGTGTCTAATTGACCTACCTATGAGAAAGACTTCTGAACAGGCTGTTACTGGCATGTTTTGCTACTGCATCTTCCTTTTTATATGAAAGAAAATTAGGGCTGCAATTCTTGATTCAATAAAGAAAATGTTTCCTGGAGATGTGAGTAAAATAACATACAGTGCCTTCAGAAAGTATTCACACCACTTTACTTTTTCCCAGAATTGTTGTTTTACAGCTTGAATTTAAAATATATTAAATTGAGATGTGTCACTGGCTTACGCACAATACCCCATAATGTCAAAGTGGAATCATGTTTTTAGAAATAAATGAAAAGCGGAAATGTATTGAGTTAATAAATATTCAACCCCTTTGTTATGGCAAGCTTAAATAAGTTCATGAGTAAAAAATGTGCTTAACAAGTCACATAATAAATTGCAAGGACTGACTGTGTGCAATAATAGTGTTTAACATGATTTTTGAATAACTACCTCATCTCTGTACCCTACACATACAATTATCTTTAAGGTCCTTCAATCAAGCAGTGAATTTCAAACACAGATTCAACCACAAAGACCAGGGAGGTTTTCCAATGCCTCGCAAATAAGGGCACCTACTGGTAGATGGGTAAATGTAAAAAGAGCAGACACTGAATATCCCTTTGAGCATGGTGAAGTTATTAATTACACTTTGGGTGGTCTATCAATACACCCAGCTACTACAAAGATACAGGTGTCCTTCCTAGCTCAGTTGCCAGAGAGGAAGGAAACCGCTCAGGGATTTCACCATGAGGCCAATGATGACTTTAAAACAGTTACTGAGTTTAATAGCTGTGATAGGAGAAAACTGAGGATGGATCAACAACATTGTAGTTACTCCACAATACTAACCTAAATGACAGAGTGAAAAGAAGGAAGCCTGTACAGAATAAAAATATTCCAAAACATGCATCCTGTTTGCAATAAGGCACTTAAGTAAAACTGCAAAAAATGTTGCAAAGAAATGAACTTTGTCCTGAATACAAAGCGTTATGTTTGGGGCAAATCCAACACATCACTGAGTACCACTCTTCATATTTTCAAGAATGGTGGTGGGTGCATCATGTTATGGGTATGTTTGTCATTGGCAAGGACTAGGGAGTCTTTTAGGGTAATGAGAAACGGAATAAAGCTAAGCACAGGCAAAATCCTAGAGGAAAACCTGGTTCAGTCTGCTTTCCAACAGACACTGGGAGACAAAGAGAAGAGTGGTGATAATGAAGTGGGTTGAGGGTTGAGCTGACCTCTACGCACATTCAATTAGCACTTACTGGAAGATAATATTATGTGAAAATGGAAAATTAGTCACCAGATGAATTGCATGGTGCACCAGAAGTGCCTTCATTTGGGGAAAAAAAGCAGTGAAATAGTATTGTGGTGAGTTTAGGGAGAGGCTGCATTGTTACATTACATTACATTCTTATCATTCTCCTATTAATTGTTTTGGGATTCTTCATAATTGTCTTATGTTTCCTCTTATTCATATACTCCATCTGATTCAGATTCATCATCAGATCAAGTTTTACAGCTTGATTCTTATCTTAAATGATAGGGTGAGATCTGCAATTTCTGTTTAAGCGACAGTCTTTTAGCTTTTCTAGGATACAATGAGCATCAGGACACCACTGAATGCCACTTAACAGTAGCCTGTTATCTCCAGGTAGTACTGTAGAGCTGATGTAAGTCAGTCAGGCTGTTTCCCTTTGGATTAGTCTGCACTAGCTGACCATAAGGGGTCAGCAGTGTTTCACAACAGAATCTGACAATGTTCTACAACCTACAGTAGCTCCTTCAGTCTTTAGGGTGCAAGTTCATGGTCCAGATGTGCACTGATAGAGATATTTTAGAGGTCGTGTTGCCTTTTCTCTGACAATTATCATGACACATATTTTACTTACATGATAATTACATATTTTTTCTCCCTGAGTTTTGTGCGTAAATACATACAGACACAAATAGAGCATCTCTCCTACAGACTTAATGAGGAGTAGGAGACATCCTGTGGTGTTAGCCTCTGAGCTTACGGATACTTGGGATGGCAGGGAAACTCAATGTGACAGCTTCCTCCCCATCCAAGTTCCTCTCTAAAAATCACAATTTCCCCCGAAAACACCTTTGTAGATACAAAGGCCCTTTTTGTGAATGTATGTAGCCCAGCAAGATAGTCTTCCTATGCTCACATGGTTCTGGTTTTGACTGCAAGGTGATTGTAATACCAATATATCTATGTCCCTGATCATCTAGAGAGGATAATGTTTAGCATTTCTCAGTTGGTTTTGGATTTATATTCCAGGGAATTTTGGCTTTGAATTCTCTTGAAAGAATGTCTTTGGGCACAGTTTTCGAGGGAAATATAGGCTCTACATTATTTTTTGATGAAGATAAGGTCCATATCTGGCTCATTAAGAAAGCTTTAGGCTAACATTATAAAGCAACATTATAGCCTACAACATCAAACTCCCACACTAGAAAATTGACCATATCTTCCAAATGTAAAATTATTACACGGTTTAAGACATGAAAGACCATGAAGACACACTGATTTGGGAAATATGTTCAAACGTGTCTCCTTTATGAAACTTCCAGCACAAGAGGATCCAAATAATTCATTACATATCTGTGGGTGGCAACGCAAAGGTAAGAAGAGACGCAAGCATTCCTTCCAACAAAATGTTGCACAAGTTCCTTTGCCAAACTGAAAATCTACACCAATTCAAATACACACACACTTAGACCAGAGTTCCATCCATTTCAATCCCAGTCTATTCAAGAGGTAAACGTCATAATTTCAGTTTACTTCCTGAATTTAAATGGCATTGACCCTAACCCTCCCTCAGTCAAGACTGCAGTATCTCCCTCACCATGAGGTGTCGATCCTCCATCTCCAACTGCCCATCATCATATCATGCCCTGCCCAGCAGGACCCAGAGAGAGGTCCTTCCCTTAGCGATCTCCTCGAATGAGGGAATGAGGGAGCTCCATAATCTCCTGCCCCCCAGGACCACAACCCTTCAGCCCCTGCAATCAGACCATAACCTCAGACCATCCCATGTCTCTGCTTCCATAGCCATTCCCATTCCCTCAGGCTTGCATTGCAGCCCTTCATATGGTGTATGTGTATTGTGCTGGCAGGCATTGGTTTTCTTTACGCACATTGTGAATAACACTAAACTTGATATGGGGGGTGTACATTGTGCATTGTGTTGCCATTGATACAGTGTGGGCATTGGCAAGGGATTTGTGTGCAACATGCATTAGGTTGGAAGTATAGATATGACATAAGCTATGTAAACATTGAGACAGTTTATGCTCAACAAATGTGTGTTATTGGATACTATATCAGAAAACAAATACAAAATCAAGCTCAAATGAAAAAATATGGATTGTGAGGGACTACAAATAGTGGCCAGAAATAAACACCACCGCTTTGGTTGGCATTGGTCTTCTTCCTAACTTAATTTGTTTCCCAGACACCGGTCCCTTGGCTGCTGACCTTTCAAAAAGATGCTTCTAAAACAGCCAATATGGCAAAAACTATTTATGTTTGAGAAGTAATTTATTCATGAAGTGCAGCTGGAAAAAGGAGTATATATTGACAGAACTGGAGAAATGCCAGAGCTTTTTACACTATATCTCCCTTTAATTTGCCCAACTACAAGACATAGAATAAGCGGCTTCCCCTTGTAGATCAATATTGACATACTAAATACCACCTAAAAACCAAGGCATGTTAAAGGGATTATGCCTATTGCATATTTATAAGGAAAGTATAACCCATTACCACAGGATATATAATATTGCTAGGGACACTGTGTAGAGTGCTGTCCACCCCCGGTTGCTCTGTGCATTCAGTAGGATAGCGTACAGTACAGTGACTTCACAACAAGTGTATGAATGGGCAGCTAGGTACAGGTGAAACCCATTAACCAGGTGTTTTGCTAATGATTAAAGCACTTGAATAGTAAGTGCAACTGATTTTCTACTCGGTATGGGATTTATGCCTTTTCAAGAGAGCGACGTACAGTAATTAAACTCACAATACCTTTTTGGTTTGTAAAGCCACGGTGAATATATTAAAGCATACAGTACACGTCCAACAGTTCTTGTCTTTCATCCTCCTAACAGAGCCTACAAGAAACCCTTTGATAGAAACAAGGAGATATCCCCATGTAATTATATTTGATCATGTTTGCATATGTCACTCCCACAGTCTCCGTCACGCTCTGTGATTTGGCTGCTCTCTGATCGTTTTGGAAACCTTTCCTAGTTCCTAATCCCCCCCCCCCCCCCCACCCCCCTTCCCTCTGCTGTGTGTGGGAGGTAGGAGGGGAGGGGGAACCGGGGGCGTCTGTCTGCTTGCTGTAAGCACACAGCTTTCACTCACTTAGAAAACGGAGAAAATGTCCCCTTCACACCCTCTCCAGCTCACCCTAGCTCTGACGCTATGTCAACAGTGAGAAAATGCCCCCGATGCTTAAGCATGTTTTTGAAGTGTGATGTGCGATGCTGTCCAGAGGTGAAGGACTGACAAGTCTGAGACGTGTAAACTTGTGTCCTACAGTAACTTATGACCCTGACCCTGTTACTGAAGTCGTATATGTCTTAAATTCACAATCCTTGATTCGTTTTTCGTCAGTTTTTCATCAGTTTTTCATCAAACCCCACTACTTGATTTTGTTATAAAGCTAAGGGATGGGGCTGAATAAATGAATTTAATGTATGGACATCTCCATAATATGTGTGTGACAAGGAAAATCAATGAGGACAATACAAAAGTATGCAACAAAAGAAACAATTTATTTGGAATATGCATTACCAGTACAAAGAAAGAGACCATAAAACCTACACCTTGTTAGCAATTTTTTTCTCCACAGAAAACAGGTTTTAAATCGGAATTAAAAAGACAATAGTTTTGCGGTTTCCATTTTTATACTTTTCGTTTTTTACATATGCAGAGAGATCTTAAAATGTCAAACCTATCAAGAAAAAGGCTCCATGATTTCACTCTGAAATCTTTATAAAAAAGAAGTAACATTCAAAAACACTGCAGTACGGTATTTTATTAAAGAACAAAAGACATGCCACAAAGAAAACATTTGATGTTTTACAAATTGTTCAGTTTCTTCTTTCTTTTTTATAGTTATTTTTTCCCTTTTTATATTCAAAAACTAAAAGCATCATTACATGAAGCTTTCAATAATATTATGATACTGGACAGGCAATGTGAAAAGTAGAGTCACTTTTACTTATTTTACGGGCACGGCATCACAAAAGCTATTGTTCTGCTAGCCACATGGCTAAAATCTGTATCGAAAGGCCAGGAAACCACTCAAACATACTCCACTCATAGGGTACCTATGTGTTGTCTGTCAACTGGACTGTCGGGTGTGGGAGCAAATTAAGTAATTTGTAGTTATCGAAAAAAGAACACGATTTTTTCCACTCATCATAGTACACTTCCACGTCTTCAAAAAGTACATCAAATATAAAATGTTGTTTGTGAAAGAAGAGCTAAGTTCTGTGATATGCAGTCTATGGTAGATTCAGCTGTGTGGTACTGTAGTTATCTATACAGATGTTGGTTATGATTTGAAATACTATATAATGTATATCGATTACCATGGATTTGGTTGGGCTAAAAACACTGTCACGAGACAGTGTTCACACAAACTTTTCACATCACCTTTAATTAACAAGACAGTACTCATTTTAGAAGCAAGCTTTTGTGTCAATGCTTTAGAAAGTACAAAGTGAACCAGTGAGTGGATTATATCCGTAATGTGAAAGGAACTCTGTCCTACTGTATGTCTGTGTCTGTCAAACATGTACTGTAGGTGCTTTGTTTTAAAATGGATACTGTCCAATTCCCCAAAAACGCAAAACGAAAAAAGGTGTACATCTACATATATAGAGCATTATTGGGCTAATTCACATTATGCTAGCAAGAAAAGAAAATTTAACGTACTGTAAGTCATGTAACCAAGCAAAAGAAAAGTAAAATAGTAGCAAAATGTAGTTATTCACAACATGAGGACATAAAAATACAGTATCTCCAAACATCATCTGTATCTGTCTGTGTGCCATCAGGGTTAGTCTCTTCCATTTCATTTCTATAAACAAACACTACTGTATTCTGACTGCATTTTTGGTTTTTAGTACAGAAAGAGTACCTGAACATTCCTATGAGATGTTCGTGAGTACTTCAGTTAATACACAGTTTTACAAAACAAACAAAGTCAAGTTGGTCAAGGTGATCCCAATGTATAGAGCTGAAGCTTCTGCAGTATTTTTTTGGTATCAAAGTAATAGTATGGTGGATATGTTGAAATGCCCAAGAAGGTAATGTGTATTTGTGAGTAAATAAATACTGTAGCTCAAATCAAATACAACAAAATGAATAAATCTCATTTCAAATTTATTTTTATTATTTAGACTGACGTCATATGCTAGGAGGACGCTGAAATATAAGATTGAGTGAAGACCAACCTTGATAACCAAAATGTAAAAACAGGATGATATGAGTGATGAGGTTGAATGGAGAAATTCAAACTGGGTGACAATAATAAATGGACAGAAATATACTACTGAGAAATAAGAAATAAAATAGCTAATTAGCACCAAAAACACCAAACAAAGAGGGTAGTAATTTTGAGAGATATTTCATAATAATGTGTAGTCGTGTATTCAATGACTACAACATTGTACCACAAAATCAGAATTAAAATCTACATAAAAATGCATTTTTTGCACGTACACAAGTGATTTTGGTTACCAGCAGTATTTGGCTATTACGATAACAGTGATGGTGATAATGGCAGGGTATGTATGTGTATGTACACACACCTTATGTTCCATATATGAAGACTATATACAATTATTATGCATGTGTGTTGTGTGTTCTCTGTACTGTGTTTGACAAATACAAATGTTACCCTTTGTAGGGTAATCACTGTAAATTACTATGCTTAAAGACATATTGGCTTATTATAATTGATGCTAATATACTAATTGATTAAGTGTTCTGGATAGATTTTAAACTGCAGATCAATAGTCTCTGGATGCAGTGCACACTACAAACAATATTTCAAGAGCAGGGAATGTATTAGAATTCCAGTAGCTAGAATCACCATGATCCATTCCTTTCTGACTCTTCCATTTATTCTAGAGCATACTGTTACTCTTATAATGTTTGCTTATGCATTGTTGATCACTCATGCTATGTTGCATTCAGTATGAGCAGAAAACATAGGCTACCATTCTTGCAGTACATTTTTTAAATGTCTTATTGCCCATTGTAGAAGATCTTAAACGGAATGCCTAAAATGAGTAGGAAAGGTTGAATCTCCTTTTCAAAGCATCCTGTTGATACGCTACTAACATTAAATGTAATTAAATACAGTAATGAAACATTTTTCATATGAAATGTCAGAGGGATGTTTTTTTTACAAGCACAATTAATATTATTAAAATTAATCTCCTGTGTTGAACCTTGGCACTGGACAATTTTATAGAATGTATTTTATGTTGTGAATAAAGTAATTATGTAGGGTAAAACTTGCCACAAAGGCAAAACTGTCCTAAAAACAAGCCTTGAGACATGACAAGAGGAGATTGGGAGCTACTGTCAATACCAGTAATTACAAAAACAACAACGCTTATTTAGAAGATTGTTGTTTTCTTGTTATTTTCAATAGAGGTAGTGTGAAACGCATTTCAATCTACAAGATATGGGCCATACTGTATATACGTGTTGTAACTGTTTGCCTACTGTGTTATAAGTCAGATGATCACACAGTGAGGCAACACGGATATATGGTGAAGAAAACTGTACAAACAGACAGTGAAGGGGTTGTAGATAGGTGGAGGATAGAGCCCTACTCAAGCTACTGACTGACTAACTGTGTCATGGTTGGTTGTTGGTTGTAAAGAACTATCTGTGGTGGTGATGGTGTTTCATTTTGTAGTCCCCGCCGTAGAGAGAGGTCTCCTGCCCTGTGACGAGACTAGTGTGTCACCTCCAGTCCTGATGGGGGGGGCTGGCTGGGAAGCTGGCTGGATGATCGAGGGTGGAGGTTAGGGCTGTCTGGACGGTGGTGGAGGAAGAGGGTGGAGGGATCAGTTGGACGTGTCCGAGTGAACACTTCCGGGTCCTTCTGTGGGTGATGTCACTGACGAGGGGGTGGTAGCATCCTGCCAGCCTCCGTTTGCCTGAGAGAGAGACAGGAGAGACAGGAGGAGAGATGAAATATGAGCACAGGTATAGGACACTAATTATAGCCATAACATAGGTTTTCTATGTCTTTGCTTCTTCTTTTTCTCTTCTCTTTCAGAGTACATATTCATTATACAGTTCAATAGGTTTATAATATCATCTTATCTGCAGTATTGAATGCCGTATCTGTGAAGTCCTGAGGACACATGTAGTAGCTACGGTATGAGCTTTACTAATGCTAGAACGACCCTTAAACAACGAAACCTACATTCCACTAAAGCCTCAAGCCAAATTGGAAGAACATCTGATTCACTCAAATTACAGTAACCTAGACCTCATATTTCAGAACAGAATTGTCACAAAAATGCTACTTGTTTGAAGCAACTGAAAATTCTGTAAACCACACATATACCTTTCAGATCACATGCAGTATGCTCAAATTTCTATAATGAAGACAATTTTGTCTTCACTTCAAAACCAATACTGCATTCTTGTATCACTGGGGTTGAGATAAATGCCTGTTACATTCAATGACACACATAATAACAGTGGCAACGTCTTAAAAGGACCTTAAAACCAAAGTCACGAAACAGTCATAAAAGGAATCAATGGTCGCCAATTGTGACATTGGGAGATTGAATGAAAACACAATGAGAGACGCGTAAGCCATTTCCAATCCCGGAGACAGGCCTGCTAAAGAGCTTTGGGATATTAATAGCAAATTTCATGCCATCAGAAAAACTGGAAATGGTCCTTGACAGCCTTTCATTTCAAAGCCTGTTATTTCAGCCAGAAGAAAGTCTGTAATCAAAAATGGAGGAAAAAGAAACATCTTAAAATGTCTGACTTTGGTGACACTCTCTCTGTCTTTTCCAAACTGTAATTACTGCCCTAGCCTACCAGAAAACCCATTATGTAACTGCTCAGTCATTATCAACACAGAGAGACGGGAGTCTTCTCATCGTTTCACAGATAGGACATACTCGTTGATACACTGTTTCTAAGCAGACAGCTTTCCTGGGCTTTGCTTTGTGAATAGGTTTGATACTGGGGTATCAAATTTCACAATCTTTCAACTTCATATTCATCATCTCCAGCACCACCCCAACATCAACATATGTGAAAATTGCACGTTTCTATGTTTTGTATTAAAAAAGATAGAGGAAGATAAGTGTTTCCAATGACATCATCGGTGTGCATCGTGTGATGTTAGCCAATTATGAGTAGGCATTGCCTACTAATTGCCTATTAATTGATTGATGATGTCATTGGAAACACTTATCTTCCTCTATCTTTTTTAATACAAAACATAGAAACGCGCAATTTTCACATATGTTGATGTTGGGGTGGTGCTGGAGATGATGAATATGAAGTAAACAAATTGTGAAATTTCTAACAAATACTATTGCAGTAAAATGCTGCAGAGGCAAGGAAATAAACTAGTAATCAACCCCACTCCAGAATACTAAAATGTAGAAATTATTTCTGTAAGATATGATTACATGTATTATATCTCCCCGAATCCTACATTAAAAATGGGGAACCATATTTGTATGTGATATTGTATAGATTTTTTTTAACGGAAAACAATGTAGGCCTTGTCTGCTCTTACATTTTTATTCCAAACATCACTGGTTATAACAGCTTACCATACAGATAACATTATATCCTTCTCTTATTATGCAGTAAGAGGGTTCTTTAAAAGCTATGAAAGAGAATATTGTGGCATTTTAGGACGTGGTACAGCAAGCAAGGGGTCCAAGGATAACCATATCCATGAGGTCAGAGTGCTGTCTAAGAACAGGGATTGAACACGTTAGTAGTGCTCTCTCAGGGTTATCACAGCCTGTTCTGTGGGAGGGAGATGAGTGGAGAGCAAGCCGGGAAAGGAGGGGGGATTTGAATACACACTACATACCCCAACATTTTTTACAGGAGGCATTTCATCTCATTATCATATGGCCATTGATGCACGACGAGCGAGGCGTAGGGACGGGAGAGGAAGCCAGAAGCCTAGCCGTGTGGCTGTGTGTGACTGTGACCGTCCTCTCTCGTCGTAGCTCTCACCGACCCACACTGCCTCGGCTCGCTGTCAGGGCCATTAGTGTGGCGGGAGCATGATCTGAGCAATGCGCTTGGATTGCTGTCCCAAGTCCACACTCCGCTCTCCTTGTGTCTGTCTTATTGATTTTCCCTTTTACGACACGGCTTGTCGCTGTGAATTTCCCTGCTGTTTGCAGCCGCCAGCTAACCCCCCCCCCATCCTCCCCTCCTCTCCCCTCACCCAAAACAAACACACATTCCCCCAAACCCAAACCCCCCACCCCCATCCCCTATAAAATAAGAAAAAAATATAACATGGTGGAAATACGCCCCCATGTTATGCCCCTCAGTGCTCTATCTAGGGGCTAGCAGTTTGGCTAGTTTTATTTTTAATGTGACTCTACTCTGGGGTTGTTCTGATAGGGTTTTAACAGGGCCTTGCGATCCGCTGTGATAATAAGGGTCAGGTGGTTAGTGGGGGTGTTGGGGGCGTCCGATCCACGCGTCAAAGGATGTGTCACCTGTTTGTGCCATTCCTGCACGGCCTTATGGCCGTGATTGGCTGCAGGTGCTACGGGAGAGCTGATTGGACATGACAGGCTCAGGCGGCCACTCCGTGTGTGTGTGTGGCCGGCCCCACGCCGTTCTGGCGTTCTGCCTGTGGCGCGACCGATACAGAAGCAATCAACTAGGTGACTGTGTTGGAGCTGAGACAAGTCCTACTAAGTGGCATTCTGAGCCCTATGGCTTTGAAATAATTGGTAGGGGAAGAGAAAGCAAAAAAAGCTTGTGGTTTTCTCTCCTTACATTGATGCCCTGCGGACTGTACATCTGGCTGGCTGTGAGGCCCTCACTGTATCCGCCTGTCTGACTGATAACATGGCGAAGGGTATCCACCTGAAAACACAACAGAGGAACACAAACAAAGCAAGGTCAGAGAACAGAAGATAAACACTGCAAGACAAAAACAAGAAGGAAGAACTATACAGTAAAGGCAGAGAAAACACACAGGAAATACATCCAGCCATGGACAATAAAAAGCAAGATAAGCAAAACATGTTATTACGTATTTAGAAGACTGTCGAAAGGATGAATTAATAATAGCTGCAGAGAGCACTGAATTATTTCATCATTACACTCACTGTAATGTTTTAGTAACAATGGTGGAAAACGATACTTTTGAAAACCCTATGGTGTGGTGCTATTATCGGCCCATGGGGATGTAGACACTGGAGGAGTACTGAGATGCCTCTGGTGCGTTTAGGATAGATTACAAGGCCTATTCTTAGGGAGGTGGGTCTGTTCCTATAGTAGTATCTTCTGCACTGCTTAGTTATAGGGCCCTACCTGTGACTGCACGTTGGCTCCCACCTGAGCCCCTTGGTACGAGTCCCCATTGAGAGACTGCACGCTCATGAACAAGTCACCGGAGTTTGACATGTTAAAAGATCCAGCAGAACCTGGAAGAGGAGAGAGGGAGCACTGGAATCACAGAGCAGAGAGAAATAGGAGCAAGCAGAGCAGGATTCAGCCACTTGGCCCCGTCCAGGGTTAGACCCGGAGAAGCACCATGCAAAGTGTTAGCAGCCAAACAAATGCAGTTAGCGCTAGAGAAAATGTTAGAAATAGAGCTAGAGTTAGGGTTAGGGCCAGAGCGAGCAGACAGATTACAGAATGGCAGCATAAAGCTGTGGGAAGTCGAGTACAGCCGTCAGATGTGCTGTTGTGCCTATTTGTCAACATGAAAGTAGAATGATAGTATGGTTCTACAGTCAAAGTATTAATGAAGATTAATGAATTCAGTAAATTCAACTGGTACAACACAAATAAAATGTTCTGTATTGAGATAAAGTACAAGAAAATGTGTGTTAATTGAAAAGAAGACAACAGGGAAGAAAGCACTGGGAGACTTGATATGGGGTCCTGGTATCCTACTCTTGGACAAAGCCATTTTTCATTTTTTCCTTTTGACTTGAGCATAGAAAAATGCCCTTGACTGATATAGAGTGTATTCAGAGCCTTCCAAATATTGTAGCCTATCTGTAAAAGGGTAACCCATTGGTATTGTTCTTTAGTCTCACCTGCAGAATTTGGAGTGGAGGGTGAGTTAGCCTGGCTTCCGTGTGAGGAAACGTTGGTCGCGTTCACGGCAGTTTTGGCAGCGTACATGTTGGCTTCTTCCTGGAACTTTCCAATGTTTTTCTTGTATCTGATTCGTTTGTTTCCGAACCAGTTGGAAACCTGTACAAACAACGTGCAAATTGTAAATGCTTACACAATGTTAATGTTACACAAATCATTTCCCACATTTCTAATGAGCAAATTGTGAGTGTGAAATCAGAATCAGAATGAGTTCTGCATGCATGGCCCTCCACTGTCTGGCATATCCTATCTGACACTGAAGAAAGACTTTTTCTGCGTCCCAAATGGCACCCTATTCCCATTGTAGTGCACTACTTTTAACCAGAGCCCTATGGGCCCTGGTCAAAGGTAGTGCAGTACATAGGGAATAGGGTGCCATTTGGGACACAGCCTTTGAGGTAGTAGTGAGCGCTACCACTCGCTACATAGACCGGTGCTGTGAATCCACATTAGTGGCAGAAGGGAATGATTGCCAACAACAGTCTCATTATGTCAGTATGACTGCAGCTATCATCAGAGCTCACGCTAGCACCAATCAGTCAACATCCGCTATCTAACACCCATTACAGCTAATGGACTCCCCGATGAAGCTACCAGGATAAGCCAGCTAGTGCTAATGATAAACAATATTAAAATAAAAACGAAATCAATCCTGTTGCTAAGTTTGAACAAATGCAGAGAGAAGGTAGGTAAACATGTTATCTTATTATAGACCCAGGAACGCATAGGATGAGTCCCAAATGCCACTCCATTCTCTACGGGAGCTGGTCAAAAAGGGCTCTGGTCAAAAGTAGCGAACTATATAGGGAAAAGGGTGCAATTTGGGGCACAGACAGATGCTCAACTAATCATTCAGACACTGAAGCCCGTTGTTTTCATCAATCAACGCCCAGATGCATCCTCAAAATAATTTGGTATAAACTTAATGAAACCGTTTGAGGAGATGATGGACGTGAAACACATGACATTACTGCTGTTTACCTTTATTGTTAGTGCATTCTTAATAACATTATCAATCATCATATTACACTATTAATTTAGTCCCTGCGATGTAGCCTATGAATGAAGAAAATAATGTAATCTTCATATCTTGAAGGCCCAGTGCAGTCAAAAACCTGATTTTCCAGTTTTGAATATATCTTTCCACACTATGAGGTTGGAATAATACTGTGAAATTGTGAAAATGATAACAATGCCCTTTTACATTATCCACTACTGCCTCTAGTCCTGTTCTACATGTACTGTGGCCTTCCTGAAGACAGGTGGCACTGTACTATACTGTACCTGTGAAACTGTGATGGAGCACTTCTTGGCCAGCTCTTCCTTGGCCTCTTCACTAGGGTAGGGGTTAGACAGGTGTGAGTAGAAGTACTCATTCAGGATCTCTGTCGCCTGTTTGTTGAAGTTCCTTCTTTTCCGTCTGCAAGGAGAATTATATAAATTGGTTAGTTAGGACCAGAATAAACACTATGTAAAATAGATACAGTTAATACCGCCCGGTCAAAGCATATACAAATCTGAAGCCTACATAGAGTAAATGTGTCAAAGCCACTTGCGGTAAACAGGCAAAACTGGGGCACCTCATAAAGTAACAATACAACTACCACCCAATTCGATCCAATACCTTCCATACAACTGCCACCCCATTCAATACAGCTGCCTAAGCTGGTATGAAATATGTTTTCTTTGTGGAGGTTCACTAATAGAAATGAACACTGCCTGCAAATCCTGACAAACAACAGAACACTGCCCTTCCTTATTAAAGGATAGAAAACGTGCTGTAAGCATGCGCTGATGCTAGTTCAGTTCACTGACCCCTCCATCTCTTCCTCCTTCCCCATCTCCACCCTCTATCAGGTTAAGTCTGCATGTGCCACAACTCATGAGAGGGCTTTACATAAGCTAGGTAGGGAACCCTGTAAAATGCTTGCTTCCATGCATCGTATCGATTGACTGGTGAAAGAGATTTGTGCTGAAATCTTCGTCCCGCACTCCAAAAGCCTGCTTGAGAATATGTAAATGTGCACAGCATGGTGCTAGGGCAGGCTGCAGAGTAATCAGTAAAGCTGAGACTGGTTGGGAGGCAGTCTCTCTCTCTCTCTCTCTCTCTCTCTCTCTCTCTCTCTCTCTCTCTCTCTCTCTCTCTCTCTCTCTCTCTCTCTCTCTCTCTCTCTCTCTCACTCTAACTGAAAGCCCTTCCCTCCTTCCCCTGCCTCCCTCCCTGCACCACAGCCACAATCATTTGCAAAATAATAGAGGGGGAGCTTTGTGAGAAGAGCACAAGCCTAATTTAAATGTTATGCTTCCGACTCAGAGTGAGATTTATCCTCAGAGAAATGTATGCAAATCCAAAACATGCATCAAAAGGAACAAGGGATTATATTAAAAAAGGGAAATATTTAGCGTTATGGAGCCTGGAGAGAGGAGAGAATTGTCAGTGGCCAAGCAGCCATGTATGTGCTGGTCCAAATGGCACCCATAGATGTACTGTATGTAGGCACAAAGCTTTGGTTGATTTTGGAAGATCAGTTTTGATGATGTTGTATAGAATGGTGGTAAGCTGTAGAGTAACATGCTGTGAACATGACTGTAAAAGCACCTTATGTGAATAATGCAGTTACAGGTAGGCAAATACTGTAGCTAGCTATGCAAGTCAACAAAACATTGCAGTGGTACAGTGACTTTGTATATGGTAATTTGTACCGCTGTAGGCACACACACAGACACACACCTGGCGTCGAGGAAGCGTGAGCGCAGGATCATGACGGCTTCGCAGGTGCTCTGTTTGAGCTGCATCTGGATGGAGCTGAACTTGCGGTGGATGATCCCCACCATGCGTTCTATCTCCTTGGGAGAGATGGGCCGCGTGCGACTCTGCTCCCTCAGCAGGTTCATCACATGGGTAGTGAACTCGTTACAAGCCTGCAGAGGGGGGGAAAACAGACAAAGACAGAGAAGGGGATCAGATAGATAGAGCAATCTGGTTTGTTACATTTACATTTTAGTCATTTAGCAGACACTCTTATCCAGAGTGACATCAGTTTTCATCAATCTTGATGACAAAATAAATGTTGTTGGTGAGAGTTTTGATAGCAGCCACACCATGATGATGGTGACATACTATATGGCTATTGCCAGGCTGGGTGGTGTCCTCTAGCATTAGACTAAAGCAGTGTTTGCGTACAGCGCAAAAATATACTGTATGGTACTCTATATCAATCAAGGTCTTGCACAAAGACAGAAAGGAAAAATTAGATGCAAATCAAGAGGTGTTTAATGTATTTAGTTCTGGGAATGCTTCCATGTTGTGAAGCCAAGGAGGAAAATAAGTGGTGATATTTTTTATATTAAACAGAAGTGGCAATGGCAACTGTAAGTGTCGTTTTTCAGAAAGGAGACATGGAGAAATGACAGCTGCTAGTCCCTGCTGACGAGCAGCAAACCTTCTCTTCTCACCGCAGTAGAGTCGCAGCTGAGCGGGTTGAGAGATCAACATGCCATGATGATACACTCACCCTCCTGTGTGGCACCAGGCGTGAACCTGACATGATATTACAGTATGCCTCTGTCTCTCTCCCTCTTTCTCTCCCCATCTTTTTCTCTTCCTCTCGAACTCTTTCTTGTTCTCTCTCTCCCTCTTTCCCTGTCTCTCTCCCAGTATTTTCTTGTTCTCTTTCTCCTTCTAATTCTCTCACTCACTTTCTCTTTCTCTCTCTCCCTGTCACTTCAATATGTCTGTCATATTCACACGCATCTCAAAGGGCCTTTACTGACATGAAAGCAATAGTTATCAAAGCAGAAGGATGTGAATGAAGAGAGACAGTAACAAGACAAAGGACAACAATACAAAAATGTTTGTACAACGAATGTAAATGACAGTGAATAGGTGGGGATGATATGAGAGGTAAGGTGCAGAGTGGTCATGCGGTTAGTGTCATACAGTGATGCATGGGGATGACAGTGAAGCCATCTGGTACAGCCCCAGATAGACTATAGACATAATGTCATCATAACAACATTGGTTAACACACACACACAGACCAAGCACAGAAACGTATATCCTGGTTCTTGTGTATGTGGGCCTTATCTGAAACAAAATACATGCAAACATGGTATAGTGCAATGTACTGCTTATGATTCTACTGGAAGCATCTAAAGCGAGCAGACATAGCATAAATTACAAATGAACATATATACATAATTAAATATATAGAAAAATTATAAATAAAAAACCTGTTAAATCACTACTAAATTGTGGTAATAAATTATAAGTGAGTTATAGTATTTTTTCTCCGTAAGCAACACTACTGCTTTAAAAGACTGGGTTGCCATCCAGTTCCTAATCCTGAACCTGACAGTGAAGGTCTGTTCCCTATCACTGAGATTGTAAGGGAGGGAAGCGTGGTATAAAATGCTGGGTTTGAAAGCTCTGGGTTGTAAATAAAAACACTGGAGCCAAGTTCACATTAGATTTAGTTACTAACCAAGCTTTATAAATACTCGTCAGATGTGAGAAATGTCCTTGATTCAACACATCCCAAAGTGTGTCTATTTGTTAAACAACCTAACCAAAGTAAAATAATGTTATTAACTAATGATATTATGACTATAAAATATATTATCTCTCTATATAGTGTATGGTAGGGCAGTGGTCTGCAGTGGAGGAGTACCTTGTTTCCGTTGCCATGACTCCCTGTGTAACTCTCCCCCCTCCATCCGCACTGGGATACCATCTTAAATACAGTATATTACATATATATTACATATTATATATAATTATATAGCACATTGTCAGCATGTAATGGTGGCATAGTCACAGGACTGTTTTCCACACTACTCCCGACTGCTACAGCCCTGCCAATTGTATATGGCTCCGGGGTGAAGTTTCCCCTAGGTACAGATCTAGGATCAGCTTCCCCTTCTCCAATCCTAAACTTAACCATTAGTGGGAACAATGCAAAACCGACCCAAGATCAGCGTCTAGAGGCAACTTTACCCTACTCCACTGTATGTGTGTTTCAGGATGGCAACCCTGTCTACAGACTAGACTAACATCACAACACTGAACCATGTCTACAGACTAGACTAACATCACAACACTGAACCCTGTCTACAGACTAGACTAACATCACAACACTGGCTTTGCTTTTTTATATAAACAAAAATGTAAGCAATGTCTGGGACTATACGGAAAATACATTTGCATTTCATCAAACAGGGCATGCATTCATTCCAGCCAGTCAGGGCCTTAAAATTTGACTGTGTGTATATTGGTTAGAAAGTAGACAACGTTATGCAGTAAAATCCACTCTGATTTATTGGCATGGTAGATAATGACATGGAGGAGAAGAGAAGGAAACTGCACATTACATAGGGATGCAATGGAGATGAGAGAAAATCAGTCAAATATTTTTTTCACATCTTTAGATGGATGCCATAAATGTAGAAAGTCTCCTTCCATTGGTATGTAAATCTAAAAAAATATATGGCTCAGTTGTTAGAGCATGATGCTTGTATGCCAGGATCGTGGGTTTGATTCCCAGGACCACCCATATGTAAAATGTATGTCGTTTTGGATAAAAGTGTCTGCTAAATGGCATATACAGTGAGGGAAAAAAGTATTTGATCCCCTGCTGATTGTGTACATTTGCCCACTGACAAAGACATGATCAGTCTATAATTTTAATGGTAGGTTTATTTGAACAGTGAGAGACAGAATAACAACACAAAAATCCAGAAAAACGCATGTCAGAAATGTTATAAATTGATTTGCATTTTAATGAGGGAAATAAGTATTTGACCCCCTCTCAACCAGAAAGATTTCTGGCTCCCAGGTGTCTTTTATACAGGTAACGAGCTGAGATTAGGAGCACACTCGTAAAGGGAGTGCTCCTAATCTCAGCTTGTTACCTATATAAAAGACACCTGTCCACAGAAGCAATCAATCAGATTCGAAACTCTCCACCATGGCCAAGACCAAAGAGCTCTCCAAGGATGTCAGGGACAAGATTGTAGACCTACACAAGGCTGGAATGGGCTACAAGACCATCGCCAAGCAGCTTGGTGAGAAGGTGACAACAGTTGGTGTGATTATTCGCAAATGGAAGAAACAAAAAATAACTGTCAATCTCCCTCGGCCTGGGGCTCCATGCAAGATCTCACCTCGTGGAGTTGCAATGATCATGAGAACGGTGAGGAATCAGCCCAGAACTACACGGGAGTATCTTGTCAATGATCTCAAGGCAGCTGACACCATAGTTACCAAGAAAACAATTGGTAACACACCACGCCGTGAAGGACTGAAATCCTGCAGCGCCCGCAAGGTCCCCCTGCTCAAGAAAGCACATATACAGGCCCGTCTGAACTTTGCCAATGAACATCTGAATGATTCAGAGGAGAACTGGGTGAAAGTGTTGTGGTCAGATGAGACCAAAATCGAGCTCTTTGCCATCAACTCAACTCGCCGTGTTTGGAGGAGGAGGAATGCTGCCTATGACCTCAAGAACACCATCCCCACCATCAAACATGGAGGTGGAAACATTATGCTTTGGGGGTGTTTTTCTGCTAAGGGGACAGGACAACTTCACCGCATCAAAGGGACGATGGACGAGGCCATGTACCATCAAATATTGGGTGAAACCTCCTTCCCTCAGCCAGGGCATTGAAAATGGGTCGTGGATGGGTATTCCAGCATGACAATGACCCAAAACACACGGCCAAGGCAACAAAGGAGTGGCTCAAGAAGAAGCACCAGTCTCCAGACCTTAATCCCATAGAAAATCTGTGGAGGCAGCTGAAGGTTCGAGTTGCCAAACGTCAGCCTCGAAACCTTAATTACTTGGAGTAGATCTGCAAAGAGGAGTGGGACAAAATCCCTCCTGAGATGTGTGCAAACCTGGTGGCTCCTGAGTGGCGCAGTGGTCTAGAGATCCTGGTTCGAATCCAGGCTCTGTCGTAGCTGGCCACGACCGGGAGACCCATGGGGTGGCGCACAATTGGTCCAGGGTAGGGGAGGGAATGGCCGGCAGGGATGTAGCTCAGTTGGTAGAGCATGGCGTTTGCAACGCCAGGGTTGTGGGTTCGATTCCCACGGGGGGCCTGTATGTAAAACATAATGTATGCACTCACTAACTGTAAGTCGCTCTGGATAAGAGCGTCTGCTAAATGACTTAAATGTAAATGGTGGCCAACTACAAGAAACGTCTGAACTCTGTGATAGCCAACAAGGGTTTTGCCACCAAGTACTAAGTCATGTTTTGCAGAGGGGTCAAATACTTATTTCCCTCATTAAAATGCAAATCAATTTATAACATTTTTACATACATTTTTCTGGATTTTGTTGTTGTTATTCTGTCTCTCACTGTTCAAATAAACCTACCATTAAAATTATAGACTGATCATGTCTTTGTCAGTGGGCAAACGTACAAAATCATCAGGGGATCAAATACTTTTTTCCCTCACTGTACAGTGAGCTTCAAAGGTATTGGGACAGTGACATATTATTATTATGTTTGGCTCTGTATTCCAGCACTTTGGATTTGAAATGATACAATGACTATGAGGTTAAATTGCAGACTGTCCACTTTAATTGGAGGGTATTTTCATCCATATCGGGTGAACCGTTGCGAAATAACAGCCCTTTTTGTACATAGTCCCCCGCATTTTAGAGGACCAAAAGTATTGGGACAAATTCACTTGTATGTGTATTAAAGTAGTCAAAAGTTAAGTATTTGGTCCCATATTCATAGCACCTAGTGATTACATCAAGCTTGTGACTACACATTTGTTGGATGCATTTGCTGTTTGTTTTGGTTGTGTTTCAGATTATTTTGAGCCCAATAGAAATTAATGGTAAATAATGTACTGTGTCACTTTGGAGTCACTTTTATTGTAAATAAGAATAGAATATGTTTCTAAACACTTCTACATGAATGTGGATGCTACCATGATTACGGATCAATTCTGAATGAACCCTGAATAATGATAAGTGAGAAAGTTACAGGCGCACAAAAATGCTAACCTCCCCTGTTAATGTAATTGTGAGAGGTTTAACATGTCTTGGGGGTATGATATTTGTGCATCTGTAACTTTCTCACTCATCATTATCCAGGTAGTCATAGTTTAATAAATAATCACTGTGATGGGAATGGTGATGGGTGGAGCTGGTGCGTTTGGGTTAAAGGGTTAGAGTATGTGATTATGGTAAAAGGCACCAAAGACAGTAGTTCTCTGAGGGGTGACTATATCCTGTCCATTCTTACCTGTTCGTATTTCTCCAGCTCTGTGTGGTAGATCTGTCTGATCTGAGAGAGCTTGGCTCTGTAGTCCGAGTGTTCCGCTGAGTTATCCACTCCTGCCCCACCTCCTGAGGCTGCAGCTGCAGCCGCAGCCGCTGCAGAACCGCCCCCTTTCTCGGGTCCAGACACGCCCTCCGCCAGCAACATGTTGTCCAATCGCATGAGCTGGGCATCTGGAGGCTCCTCCTCCTGGGCGCCACGGATACTCAGCACTACAAACGACAGGAAGGGTCAGAGGTTAGAGGTCAGTCATGCAGGTCACCAATCCCAGCGTCATGACGCCATAGGTCACTCAAACACAGCGCTGTGATACCGTAACAAGCTGTCGGCTGTAGGCAGCGCCCCACGTCTTGCCTGACTCCACGCCTGACACACACAACACACACACCATGCCTAACACATACACACACACACCACGCCTGACACACACAACACACACACCATGCCTAACACACACACACACACCGCCTAACACGTCCTCCTCCTCTGGTCTGGAGAGCAACGGTGCAGCAGAATTGTTTTCTTTTCACCACGGTAACACTTGATGGTGCATCCATGTGGACCGTAAAAGCCAGCAGTATGTGTGGAAACAAGTAACGACCAGGCTCAGATTGAGACTACTAGAGTACAGTGTGTAGTGTAAATGGCAGTGGTAGTACATAGTGTAGTGTAGCTGGCAGTAGGACCTCCCTGTCTGGACGGGGATCATCCAGTTGATAAATCACTTGCCTCTTTATTGTCTCTTTGCCAGAATAAAGGCTACAGCGCTAGACTCTTGCAAGACTACACTATAATAAAACTCAATTTATATAATTAACTTAAAATGCAACTTCAATAATAACTACCAGAGCATTGGCCAGGACTGTTTGGTATTCAACACGTATGTCATAAAGCAATTTGTGATATTGGAGGAATAAATAAACAAATACTATAAATGGGGGTTACACCCTGATAATGAATGAGGCATAGTCTCTGAGGAGTCAGTTAGCATCCCAAATGGCACCCTATTCACTTTATAGTGCACGACTTTTGACTATGGCCCATAGGGTTTTGGTCAAAAGTAGTGCACTATATAGGGAATAGGGTGCCATGTGGGACACACACTCAGTGACATCATTGGTGTCTTAGATGCCTTATGTCAGTATTGGGACACATTGAACTATGGATAATGGTGGTTTTGTACTTCAGTGATTTCCAATTCAGTATGTAAATGTAACCTCCATGCACTCACACAGAAAACACACACTGATTGTTGCTCTTACAGTGGTGCTTGGTTACTATTCTTACAATGCCCTAACAGTGCTGGTTCTTAAAGCGTAAGGATCTGGGCAACAACTGAAGCCTGTCATTGAGCGATAGTGCACATTGTGAGGTCAGAAACAGAGCACTGGACTTGGCAGTGTGTGTGCAGTGGCAGAGCAAAGGTATTCATGCTGTTCCCTTTCCTTCCTCTAGAGGTCTCCCTCGCTGTTCTTTAGGGTAGACAATGCCGACCTTCCATTTTCTGAAATAACACACACTCACAGATGCTACCTCCTCCTGCTATCCAAGAGCAATGAGTCTATCCATTCCAATTACAAACACCTTCTCCCACTGTCCATGAATTCAAACTGATAACATCAAATGTAGCATACACAATGTAATTACTTTAAAGGCTACAGCCACTTATGCAGTGTCTAAATATGACTTACTGACTTTAAGGCCAATGTTTGTCGATTGCTATTTAAAATGTTAACACTCCTCACATGTCTCATTGTCTCTGAACGAAATGGAACAGGCAGGGAACACTTCATTAATCCAGAGACAATGGGAGTAGCTTGGTGCATTAACCCCAGACTAGACCGCTGCCCCAGCCATGGAATGGGATGGCTGGGGTGGGGTGATTAGGGTGGGGGTGGCTGGGCTGGGTGGGGGGTCAGCGGGATGAGAAAGAGGCAGGCTGTACGGCCAGAGGGAGGGTACCCCTGCTGCCCTCCCCTGTGTCATTATAGAACGTCCTTCATCACACTGAAAAGGTAGGGATAAGGTGGAGAGAGGGGAATCCCCCTGGGTGTGTCAGGAAGGACACCCTATTCCCTATATAGTGCACTCCTTGCCCTGGTCAGAAACAGTGCACTATATAGGGAATATGGTACCATTTCGGACACAGCACTTGTCTTTTACAGCCACTACGTTTCTCTATCTCCTGGCTAGACTACGTCTGCCTGGTGCATTTTTAAACACAAATGGTGTCATCAATTTTAATAAGCCTGTCCACACTATATACACCCCCCTATGTATTTATTTGGACAGTGAAGCTAAAACATTTAATTTGACTCTATACTCCAACATTTTGGATTTTAGATAAAATGTTCCATGTGAGGTGAAAGTACAGAATGTCACCTTTAATTGTAGGGTATTTTCATACATATCTGTTTTACCTTTTAGAAATGAAAGCACTTTATGTATCTAGTCCCGCCATTTGAAAGTGTCAAGTATTTTCAGTGCATTAAAGTAGTCAAAAGTTTAGTATTTGGTCCCATATTCCTAGCATGCAATGATTACATCAAGGTTGTGACTCTACAAACTTTTAAGATGCATTTGCAGTTTGTTTTGGTTGTGTTTCGGATTATGTTGTGTCCAATAGAAATTAATGGTAAATAATAAATTGTGATATTTTGGAGTCACTTTTATTGTAAATATTAATAGAATATGTTTCTGAACACTTCTACATTAATGTGGATGCTACCATGATAACAGATAATCATTAATGAATCGTGAATAATGTGAAAAAGTTATATACAGTTGAAGTCGGAAGTTTACATACACTTAGGTTGGAGTCATTAAAACTCGTTTTTCAACCACTCCACAAATTTCTTGTTAACAAACTATAGTTTTGGCAAGTCGGTTAGGACATCTACTTTGTGCATGACACAAGTAATTTTTTCCAACAATTGTTTACAGACAAATGATTTCACTTATAATTCACTGTATCACAATTCCAGTGGGTCAGAAGTTTACATACACTAAGTTGACTGTGCCTTTAAACAGCTTGGAAAATTCCAGAAAATGATGTCATGGCTTTAGAAGCTTCTGATAAGCTAATTGACATCATTTGAGTCAATTGGAGGTGTACCTGTGGATGTATTTCAAAGCCTACCTTCAAACTCAGTGCCTATTTGCTTGACATCATGGGAAAATCAAAAGAAATCAGCCAAGACCTCAGAAAAAAATGGTAGACCTCCACAAGCCTGGTTCATCCTTGGGAGCAATTTCCAAACGCCTGAAGGTACCACGTTCATCTGTACAAACAATAGTACGCAAGTATAAACACCATGGGACCACGCAGCCATCATACCGCTCAGGAAGGAGACGCGTTCTGTCTCCTAGAGATGAACGTACTTTAGTGCGAAAGTGCAAATCAATCCCAGAACAACAGCAAAGGACCTTGTGAAGATGCTGGATGAAACAGGTACAAAAGTTTCTATATCCACAGTAAAACAAGTCCTATATCGACATAACCTGAAAGACCGCTCAGCAAGGAAGAAGCCACTGCTCCAAAACCGCCATAGAAAAGCCAGACTACGGTTTGCAACTGCACATGGGGACTAAGAACTTACTTTTTGGAGAAATGTCTTCTGGTCTGATGAAACAAAAATATAACTGTTTGGCTATAATGACCATCGTTATGTTTGTCGGAAAAAGGGGGTCGCTTGCAAGCCGAAGAACACCATCCCAACCACAGGGGGTGGCAGCATCATGCTGTGGGGGTGCTTTGCTGCAGGAGGGACTGGTGCACTTCACAAAATAGATAGCATCATGAAGAAGGAAAATGATGTGGATATATTGAAGCAACATCTCAAGACATCAGTCAGGAAGTTAAAGCTTGGTCGCAAATGGGTCTTCCAAATGGACAATGACCCCAAAAATACTTCCAAATTTGTGCCAAAATGGCTTAAGCACAACAAAGTCAAGGTATTGGAGTGGCCATCACAAAGCCCTGACCTCAATCCTATAGAAAATGTGTGGGCAGAACTGAAAAAGTGTGTGCGAGCAAGGAGGCCTACAAACCTGACTCTGTTACACCAGTTCTGTCAGGAGGAATGGGCCAAAATTCACCCAACTTATTGTAGGAAGCTTGTGGAAGGCTACCCGAAATGTTTGACCCAAGTTGAACAATTTAAAGGCAATGCTACCAAATAGTAATTGAGTGTATGTAAACTTCTGTCCCACTGGGAATGTGATGAAAGAAATAAAAGCTGAAATAAATCAATCTCTCTAACTATTATTCTGACATTTCACATTCTTAAAATAAAGTGGTGATCCTAACTTACCTAAGACAGGGAATATTTACTAGGATTAAATGTCAGGAATTGTAAAAAACTGAGTTTAAATGTATTTGGCTAAGGTGTATGTAAACTTCCGACTTCAACTGTATATAAATATCATACCCCCCAAAAAATGCTAACCTCCCCTGTTATTAGTAATGGCGAGAGTTTAGCATGTTTTGGGAGTATGGTCTTTGTGCCTCTATAACTTTCTGGAATATGGGACCAAATACTAAATCTTTGACTACTTTAATACACTAACACGTTAATTTGTCCAAATACTTATGACACCTTAAAACAGTAAGAACCTCATACCAACAGTCAAGCATGGTGGTGGTAGTGTGATGGTTTGGGGATGCTTTGCTGCCTCAGGACCTGGACGACTTGCCTTAATAGAAGGAACCATGAATTCTGCTCTGTATCAGATAATTCTACAGGAGAATATCAAGCCATCTGACTGTGAGCTAAAGCTGAAGCACAGCTGGGTCATACAGCAGGACAATGATCCAAAACACACAATCAAGTCTACATGAAAATGGTTAAAAAGCAACAAATTTGAAGTTTTCGAATGGCCTAGTCAAAGTCCAGACCTAATCCCAATTGAGATGTTGTGGCAGGACTTGAAACAAGCATTTCATGCTTGAAAACCCACAAATGTTGTTGAGTTAAAGCAGTTCTGCATGCAAGAGTGGGCCAAAATTACTCTACAGCAATGTGAGAGACTGATCAACAACTACAGGAAGCATGTGGTTGCAGTCATTGCAGCTAAAGGTGGCACAACAAGTTATTGAGTGTAAGGGGGCAATACATTTTTCACACAGGGGAATTGGGCGTTGCATAACTTTGTTAATTAAATGAATAAAATAAGTATCCATTCCCTTTATCTAATATTAGGTTTTGGTTAAATCTGATAACATTCAGTATCAAAAATATGCAAAAATAAAGAAAATCAGAAATGGGGCAAAAACTTTTTCACGGCACTATATACAGTGGGGAGAACAAGTATTTGATACACTGCCGATTTTGCAGGTTTTCCTACTTACAAATCATGTAGAGG